TATGTGTGTAGAGATCTCTGGCCTCTTCTTAGATCATTGGTAAGTTTATTCTTCATACTATCTACTCAGGAATAGAATCTGATTCTATGTTCTTCCAACAGGACTTATGTAGGTTAGTAATTGGCAGGGATTTTTTTCATGTAATTTACTGTAGCACAGTGTTGTCATGTATCTGTACCCTACTGTAGTGAATATATAATCTTTCTTTGTCTCCTGATTAGTGTGATGATCCTATAGAAGAAACCCTAATCCAAAACAATATTAGTTGGGTGGAAAATGACTATAGAAGCTCTGAGAGCTCTGAGAGCACTGAGAGCTATAGGAGATATTGCCACTATACATAGGAACAAGAGATCCATAAGTTGCTAACATTGATATGGTAGCTCTCAATGCTCTCCAACAATATCTGTTCTATAGTATCCCTATGAGAAATTTCCTGGTTTGCTGATGACGTAGGAAGGACTGCGGACACGTTCTTAGGCTGATGTGGCGGACCTAGATGACGTGGCATTTCTCACGAACCTGTAGTAGTATAAAGATTGGACCCTTGTAGTCGAGATTCTCTAACCTGTTCACTTGTATCATACCTACAGTGTTTCAGTTGAATTCATCAGAATTCTCGATATTGTCTTATGCAACCTCAAGACAATACCCCTCGAATCTCAACTACAAAAGAGCTCTACCATTAAAACCTCAAATCCACATCAGCTCTAGCAGGACGCCTGCTTCAGAAGAGGACGCCTCATCTGAACGAACTCAATCCTAGACCGGACACCGCGTCTAGACAAACCGAGCCAGAACCCCGGATCTAGAACCTCCGAAGCCCCTCGCTGATCACCCAAGCCGACAGCACTGAACGACTCAATTGTTCCCCGCTTCACGAAACTGACGCCGCCCTTAAGCTTAGCTTAAGCCTGGTCGTAATATGGCCGGCTGCATAGCATAGAGGGCAACATGACCGCAGACCAGTACATGAAGATATTGCAAGAGTCCCTTCTCAGCACCATCCACGATCACTCCCTTTCCGTTTGCGACGTCATCTTCATGCACGACAACGATCCCAAACTCACCGCCAAGCTCACCTCCCGATGGCTTGCATCTCAAAAACTTTCCGTCATGCCGTGGCCAGCCAACAGTCCTGATATGAACCCTGCAGAGCATGTCTGGGATCGTATCAAGATGCGAGTTGGTGCTCTCCGCCTTCATCCACGGAATCTTGATGAGCTATGGGAAGCTGTACAGTGGGAGTGGGGTAAACTGGACCCGGAGTTCGTGGAATCCTTATACGAGAGTATGCCTCTTTGTGTCTGTACTCTAAGGGAGGCGAGAGGGTCTTACATGAGTCTGAATAAAGTTACTTTTCGGCTAACTTTTCCCCACCAAAAAAAGCAACAGTTCTTACTTCTACTTTTCCCACGCTTAGTGTAAGTGATATTTCTTACTTCTCGCTCGCGTTAGTCTGATTAACACAGTTAAGCTTGCTCAGCTTTACCACTTGTACAATTTACATACCATGTGGTTTTTATGCGCATTCGCCGCTGACTTCGGTCCACGCCATGCACTGGACTGGCCAATGCCTTCCGGCAACATCAATGTCTTGTCTGACGTGGTCCGTTAGACCTGTCAAGACCTACCAGTCGATAATGGAATATGTGCTTTGTGCTATATATCTCCTTATTGTGCGAGATTCAATTGAGATAAAACCAATTGCAGATGCATAAGCTAGAATGCCGAAGTACGTACATGATATATACATTTTAATGTCACACCTTAGATTCAGATGGTTCAGAAAAGGGTAGAAATAAGGTCATGATACGAATACTGTTCAATCTTACTTACAGTTTCAACAGGGCCTCTGTCCTTTTCACAAACCCATATCCATCATTCGTAAAGGACGTGTTGCCGTGAACATTGCAAAGTTGTTGTAAAGGGTCTTGATCTGCTGGGCCGCACACAGAAATACCAATAAAGTCATCTCAACAGCGATGATAACCGCTTGTATACAAACTATAAACACGGACAGCGTAGATGGGTGGTTCGGGCACTGTCAGAACCATGATGCGGTCAGATTAATGTCAGGTGAAAGGAAGAGAAATGTTGATAATATTGCAGCAGGAGTTTCCACGGCTCAATGTGACACTCGGATGCATCCAGTGTGACAAAAGCTTACAAATGAGACTAACAATGGGTCAAAGTTAGCCAGAAGTTAGAACGGTCACTTTGTGCACGTGACCATGACTTAGCGTCGCCACACGCACGAATGCCCTGAGTTAGTGCTCTCGTTGCACACTGAAATTGACAGAGTGTCTATAGAATCTTCTAAAGTATGTGTTCATGTCACAAACTAGTTTTATATACTCTTGTAGAAGGCAAAGTTCAAGGCATACCAAAGTCACTGCCAAGTGACCAACGTTACTTTGCATGCAAAGTTAACGTGGCAAGTTAACTTTTCAGCCAAAAGTACAAAAAAGTTACTTTTGGCTGAGAAAAGTTCGTACACAAAGTTACTTTGTTCATAACCGTCTTACACCAAGTATTGAGTAGTAATTTGACCATATCATTGTCAATCCATTTGTTTCCAGCTTGTTTTTTTGTGTGCCACACTTCATGCAGGGTGCCACAATTAGAAAGCTGTGAAGAAATCTTTTATTTTGACGAAATAGGTAAATGTAAATCACCAAAATTTATACATCACACTAGAGTACAGGCCCTACAGATTGTGTATATGTTATATTGGACAATGATTCACTGGTCAACTTGAAAGCTACGAGCAGCAGAAGGTCTCTGCCACCACATGGGCAATGCTTTTTTTGGCCACAGTACAGATACAAAAAGTGAATGTGAATGTCAAGGATATTGTCCAGGAGATGGAAACGCCAAATGATCCCATACAGTCATTCGACACTCCTCCGGTCAGCAACAGTCCTCCGGTCAGCCTCGAGTGATGTTCTGTCATTTATTCCTGTAATCCATGTAAATATTATCAGTGCTTTATCAACATGGAATCTATAGTATAAGAGACATGCAAATATTTCTGGCAGGGGATTAAGACTACACCAACAAAACAACCCTCGAAAGAGCCAGGAAGCAGGATTCTCAACTTTGCTACACATACTGACTAATACATAGAAGCTCAGAATCATACATTTGGATGCTGCACTTTTTCCTCGGCCACTGGTAGATCATGCGCAAAAGTTCTTGCTATACCTCCAAACATTTCTATGCAAGCGATGAAGTCGGAAAAAATCAACAGTGGGGACAGAGTGAAGCTGGGCCATAGTGTGACTCAGCGTGACAGCCAATGAATGGTTGCGGTGATCGACCCACATCATTCCTCAGGTCACCGCTGAAGCACCTAAGCTCGCGGTCAAGTTGACAGACGGTCAAGGCTTTTCGAAAATCTTGACCTCTCCCTCTTCCACCTCGACACTTTGCTAGTTTATCTTTCTGAAACTGCTTTTCTTGATATGGTTAAACATGCCCTTAACGAGCGCCTCAAAAAAGCCGCACGCTCCAAACAGAAGGCGGCGAGAATGCAAGCAGCTCTTGACTGCTTTGCACGAGAGCAAGAGAAGCCGGAGAACTTGAGAAAAAGTCTACGCAAGATCGCTGAAGACTACCATTTACCCTACGAGACCTTCTGAGGTGCAACAAAAACAGGAGCTCGGAGCATTCGAGAGTTCAATGCAAAGAAGCGGAAGCTAAGTTATGGCGAAGAGAGGGTGGTGGTGGACTGGGTATGTATCTCTGCAGACCGGGGATTCCCTCAGACATATGAGCAGGTATGTTTGTCAATTCTACTTAATTACATCAAGACTAGCATGCTATACTGACTCTACAAAGATTGAAGCCCTCGCGAATAGTATCATTGAAAGCCGAGAGGGAGAAGGCTACGAACCCGTGGGTAAAGCATGGGCGAGCCGTCTTGTCGAACGCTATAGTGAAGAGATAGCGACACACTGGAGCAGCCCGCTCTCAAGCGAGAGAGCTCAGTCTCTCAACCCCGCCAATGTCAAAGCTTGGTTTGAACTCGTCAAGGCCAAGTGTGTCGAGGAGGGAATTCCGCCGGAGTTGATTTACGGGATGGATGAGAGTGGATTTCCACTTGGGGATTTTGGTAAAAAGAAGGTGGTAGGGAGGCGAGGGGCTAAGAGGCAACATAAGCAGGGGAGTGGGGATAAGGAAAATGTGACGGTGTTGGTCACCATTTGTGCAGACGGTACCCACCTTCGGCCAACCATCATCTACAAAGGGAAGAACTTCATGCAGAAGTGGCAGGAAAATAATGTTTCTGGAGCTTCGTGAGTACTCAGTACAAATTCATTGGTTTGGAAGAAAGACACAAACTGAGTGATCATGTTCAGGATCTGTCATAGTGACAATGGATGGACAGATTCAGAACTTGGCCGCAGCTGGATCGAGAAAGACTTCGATGCTCTGACCAAGGAGAAAGCGGCAGGCCGCACTCGCGTCCTCATCATGGACGGTCACAGCTCACATTACACTCCCGAGCTACTTCGGTATGCAAAGGACAACAATATCATCATCCTTGGCTACCCTCCTCACTGCACTCATGCACTCCAAGGCCTCGATGTTGTATGCTTTGCATGCATGAAGAAGGCGTATCAGGAAGCAGTGTCCGACTTCGAGAAGCAGATGAAGCGGAAATTTAAGAAGGCGGACTTCACAGGAGTGTTTGGCAAAGCGTTCCTGGAAGCATTCACTCCGGAAACGATAAAGGCGGCCTTCGAGAAGACCGGAGTCTATCCGTTCAACCCGAATGCTATCTCGGCCAAGCAAATGCGACCAAGCGAAGCAACCTCTCTAACAAAAGCATACCCACTCCCCAACCCTAGCCCCGTTGCTGCAATCATGGAGGCTTTCCGTAGGAAGCCTCTCACCTCCTTCGACACATCACCGAGCACCCATCAAAATATAGAAGAAGCGCCACACACCTCTGAGGCCACACAATCTCAAAATCCCGTTTCCTGTATGCCTCGCCGAGAATCGAACCTAAACACGGGCCCTACTCTTCAGGCTACACCCTTCCGACCCTTCCGGCAGACCTCCATGTCTTCTGGGCCACCCGAAACACCAGCTCCCGCTTTTAACCCGTCACTCACACAACATCCGCACCCGGCTTCGTCATATTCACCAATCCCGCCACCATCGACTATCCAAACAGCAACACACAGCCCGTTCGTGTTTGAGATCGAAGAAGATTTGGGTGTGCTGTCAGAGCATGCTCAAGTTGTTAGTAAAATTCTCCTGGAGGAAATGACAGAGGAGAGAACACAACACGAGGCTAAAAGGCTCCCTACCTTGATGATCACCCCCGCTCCAACTTCTCAAAAGCGACCATGTTCATATACACCAGCCGATTCACCATTCAAGCGTGCTCGGATCGACATGACACCGAACAACTTACTTGGCCCACCCAATTCACCCATCTGCCACAGTCCATCGAACCGCAGGCGCCGGCGTCGAAAATATGCCGTTACGGACAACGCACACCACACAACTCCACCGATGAGCCCCGGTAGAAGATTGATGATGGACAGCCACACTAACACCATAGTCACACCCTATCGTACCACCCATCACTCGTCAAGGAAACGCACATACGAAAACGCTTGGGATCACGTTGACGAAGAGACTCCCTGTAAGCGCCGCCACACTGTCAGCTTTCGAGATCCCCATACATCCCCATATCCTCAAGCACAGCCAGAAGCGAACTCACCATCTGTCAACTCGTTACCGCACATACCAGTCACCTACGCTGGCCACCACACAGGACGGCCCATCACGTCCTCGGCTGCTGACTCTCCCGACAAACCATCTACTCGCATTCGACTTGCCACAACAGGCCTCGCAAAAACCGCCGCTAGCTTCCTACTCTCAAAAACACGTATGAGATCATCAGATCGGATTCCTCGGCCTATGATAGAGCACGTACCATCCGACCTTCAAACCCCAGACTGGAATCTTCTCAAACTCCCAAACCTCGCACTATTGCCACGAAATCAGTTAATTTCCTTGGTTGAAAAGCTGGCTGGAAGTCTTACCCTCGCCAAACAACACATTGACACACATCAAACTCTCCTTGAGAAGGCCCACGCTCAACTTGTCCTTCAAGACCTTCAGGGAGACAAGCTTCATGAGGCATTGTACGCTAAGGAGCAGGAGAAAACAAAAGGAACCGAGAATCAGCGTGTGGATGGAGCTGGAGGAAGGCATCTTACCGATGATCAGTTTATCAAGTCCCTAGAGAAGCAGGCAGAAACCCGAGCTCAAGAGAAGGTAGCGAAAGAGGGAAGGAAGGTGGCAAAGGTAGCAAAAAAGCGAGAGAAGGAAGCATTGGAGGTAGAGTGGAAAGTTATCTTGGGTGTACATGAGGCTGCGGTAAAGCAGTGGGAAGCAGTGTGCGCAGACTTGCAGCTGAAGAAGGTGAAGAAGGCAGCTTGGCCTGCAAAGCCAAAGCGTCCATTGAAGCCAAAGCCTGTGAAGGAAGCAACTGCCGGGGTTGCTGGCGAGGCTGAAGGGTTAGAAGAAATAAATATTGACAATGTAGGTAGCTCAGACAGTGATTTGGATGATGAGGAATGAGATGGCAGTCGTCGAGCTCGGCATCGATGCATGTGCGATGAACGTTGAACATCGGGAGGAGGGTGAGCGTGGCAGTCGTTTGCGTGGAGGTGGTCACCTGGTCACGCTAAATGACGTGCTGTCACTGGGCTGTCACTGCCGGTCACACTGACCGAAGGAGTGAAAACACGCACATTTTGCTCTTCTTCGTGCACTTTTTCTCTCGTCACGAATACTACTTTTTAGCTCAAAGTTCTTTACTATTATATCAAATAGAGTACATGTACGATGCATAGGTAAATTTTTTATAATATTTGCATATACTCGACAAGCACAATGCTCTGACCATGATCCTCTGACCGGAGGAGTGTCGAATGACTGTATTGTAAAGTAAACAAAATATTCTATCAGTCCCAAATGAGGGGGATAGTACCTCCTCAATGGTAAAATGAAATGTACCAAGAAAAACCACAATGTTGATATTTAAGAATGTGAGCAAGGGGAATGAGTGTTCTGTGGCCCGTAACACAGGGAAGCAGAGCTTGGGTCATCAATCTGACTGACAGACTTGCCTGATAAGCTGTGGTGCTACCATTAATTGTTCCTGTACACCCAAAACTCCATTAGAAGGCCGATGTCGCGACCACTGTCAGACTCCTAGGCTTGCATTACCTAGATGGGTGGATAAGGCAAAACGTAAAACCCTAGACACTGAGTAATATTAGTTCGGACGACGAAGGTGGTATCCAAAGGATCATTCTGATATCTAGAGCACAGCTTAAGTGTGATTAAGAGATCAATAACTGAAAGTCTAGTCTTCACTCGAGTTTGGCAGGGTGAGCCGAACATTGGAGAGAGCCAAGAGAACAAGTATATTCTGAAGAGCCTCGTGGGCATGGAGATAAACTGAGTGATGTAGTAGAAGTGTCGTTGGCATCCATACCAATATAAGGTGAAAGGAAGGTGAGGGTACCAGAAGTATATGTGTTTGACAGGGGATGGGACACGTAAGCACAAGAGAAAGTAATCAGTAAGTAAGAAAGAGAGATATGTCAGTGCAGGGTCAGAATGATAAGTAATAGTACAGAGACAGGTCCGAGAATAGGAGAGTGAGGGGCATGAGGTGTACGCATATGCATATGTAAATAGACCGGGTTTCCGTAGGCAGTGCATCAAAGGAAAGGGGAAAGGAGAGTGAATCGGGTCACGAGTGGAAAAGGGAAGGAAGATAAAGAAATAAGGAAAAATCAAAGTAGGCAATGTTGGGACAGTCACGATAGCCATAGTGAGAGGAGATTGGTGATGGAAGCGAAATGGAGAGAGAGACTAAGCTGTCTAGGTCCTAGAAGGTGAAATAGGTAAAACAAGATCATAACAAACTCAATTATTGCTGGACCATCATAGAAACCTCTGTCTGATATTCTGAAGCCACAGACATCAAAAGATTAAATCAAGGGAAACAAGTAAGAAACCAAGAGGAATTATTGAATTGAGCAAGGAGAAAGACATTCCAAGATCACTCAGCTAATCTGTTCTTAGTAACTGATGGCTTGGCTAACTTGATCATACTCCGCCCAGTCTTTGTTGAACATTCTTTGTAGGTGCGGAGCTTGTCCACGTATTGAATTGTCTTGATGTTGTGCTAGATGGTGAGGTTGAAAATGTCTAGAATCCTCTAGATCAGAGCAGACAACAGTTCTAGCAGAAAAGGAATGAGAAATGAATAGATTTGAAGCATAAACAAATGTGGTGTCCAACACTGTTTTTGGACAGTGACTGTACAGATCATGAATATACACAGGGTCGGTACTCTAAGTCTCTACCACTCTCCTATGTAAGTGTATACGAGTAGCCTCATGTACACCTTTATATTGATCTCCCAGTTGGCACATTCTACTGCGGTGCGAGCCTCCAGGTCCATGGTATGACACTGACAAGGGCAGATTGTTGGTGGATAGTAGTGGCCCACATATGAAGAGGAAGGCTATCGGGCATGTTTAGCTGAGTGAAAGAGGGGAAAAGTGATCACTGATTAAACAGGAACAATCAGAATGTGAATAGTTGAAAGAAACAGGGAAAAGGGTGATGATTACATTGCTCCTCCCTAGTTTAGTTAGAAATATGGTTGTGAGAAACTTATTTTGTATGGTGGTCTTAAATCTGAAACCACTTCTAGGCAAGGTCTTGAAATGAATAAATAGAGTACGTCATGTCATATGGATCATAGAGCCCATGTGTATTAACATGGGTCTAAGCATTACACAACCATGAAGAGTATCTTGAATGGGTCAGCAGATGATGACATATATGACCTTAGAGTAATACAAAAATCTTGAGTAAATAAATAAAATTAAACATTAAAATAATAATAAAAACCAGGCATCGTGCCTGCCATGCTAGGTATAGCAATGGCCTCTCCCCCCAAGTGAGAAACTTATTTTGTATGGTGGTCTTAAATCTGAAACCACTTCTAGGCAAGGTCTTGAAATGAATAAATAGAGTACGTCATGTCATATGGGTTATAGAGCCCATGTGTATTAACATGGGTCTGAGCATTACACAACCATGAAGAGTATCTTGAATGGGTCAGCAGATGATGACATATATGACCTTAGAATAATACAAAAATCTTGAGTAAATAAATAAAATTAAACATTAAAATAATGATAAAAACCAGGCATCGTGCCTGCCATGCTAGGTATAGCAATGGCCTCTCCCCCCAAGTGCAGAAACTGCTCCTTCCCCTTGGAAAGAGTACAGTATATGTGAGGCACAGATAACTGAGCACTCAAAGAAACCACTGTGAGAAGTGTCACTGTAAATGATATTGTCCTCACAAACTCATAGAAAAAAGAAAGAGACAACATTTATAGGAAGACTCACCTGTAAGAAGTGTCGTTGTCAATGATAAAGATGCTTTCCACATGTTAAAAAAATGCGCTCTGGCGCTTACCGGTCTAATTCTACAGTTGGAAAAGTAACTGCCTAAATGGGACGCAGAGCAACAGATCCCGAGGCACGGAATGCGGAGTTCTGCAGACTGCTTCAAGGTGAATAACTATGAGTCATAACTCCGCAGTAAGCGGTCCTATAAGTGCCGGAAAAATTGCAAAAATATCAGAACAATTCCCTCTGTCTCGTCATAATACTCTGGACACTCCCTCCTGCAGAATGGAAGGAGATGCTCGCGATTGCTGACCCCAAATACCGTCCAGCGACGCGTAGCGAGCTTGAAGATTCTCAGATCCTGAACGTAGCCCAGTGGGTCCGGAATACACAGCTCAAGGACCTCAGGACCGAGTACAATATCACACACTCTTTTGATGGGTCGACCTCTAACGCGCATGAAGCTCGGTGGACCATCCATGCTTCTACAGGGAACGGCAAGGTGGTACTGGTGAGAACGAAGGAGGCGACCGCAGAGAAACATGATGCGAAATTCATGGTTGCCCTTATCTCGGAGGTGCGTTCTGATCCTTGACTACTCGCTTTGGATGATAATACTCACACCAATACCACATCTACTAGGTTGCAGAGGATATTGGCACCACTAGGATAGGTTGTATCCTCTCCAATGGGGCTACCGCTTGTGTCCTTGCTCGTAAGATGTCTGTTGCGCAGTTTTTAAAGGTCGCTATCGCACTGCCCAATGTCTGCCACCTCCTCAATCTTCTGATCAAGGATATTGTACGGATTTCATGCTTCAAGCCGGTATGTCCTTCTTCAACTTCCTCACATTCATTATACTGATTGTTGTGGCAAAGATCATGACAGTAATTTGTTCGACCATCACCGTCTTCCATTCCTCACACGGTTGCTTCGCCGACCTGAAGATTTCTCGTGAACATCATCGGATTGGGCGAGGTCTTGAAGTGATAGGAAAGACTAGGTTTGCCACCTCGGTTCGCTCTGCGAGATCTGTCCAGAACAATACACCTGCCATCAAGGATGTTGTTCAGACACGCAAAAAGTACACGCTCAAGGTATGCTTCTGTGCTACCACAAACACTGTGTCCCTCCACATATTTACTCACACCTCTGTGTGCATTACCCAAGGACATCACACAGTAGTATCAATCATCAATGGCACGTCCCTCGCAGGTAACATTCATGTATGAGTGCAGTTTAGACCAGCTCATCAAGGCCGGGCTTCCGACTACGAAGGTGTTGGCATGGTTAGAGGCTGTTGATTCGACAGCCGTGGACATTTACGTCCTGTGACACGTAATGGTTCGAGCTGTGGCAAATGTACTGGAGGATGTGGAGAACAGGTTCACCGATGAGTCCAAAGAGGCAGTGATTGCCATACTAAACTCTCGTTCGGATCAGTTATTTGGAGATGGTCGGGTTTCCAGCAAGGTCTATCGTGCAGCGGCTTACCTCAACCCCAGTGCGTACCACTATCATCTATCTAGACTTGCAACCACACAGAATCTCATCCACCCGAGCAGACTACCTTCGTTCGGACCTCTCCCTTGCGGAGGAGCCCATAGACACGCTCCCAGGACTTCGCTATCCCCTCCTTCTCCACTCCGTTGGTGAGTATCTCAACGAGCTTGCGACAAGGAGGCTTTCACATACTGGTGAGGGCATGGTATGGTATTTGGGCACCAGTACAAGGCAGGGATTATGGCATACACCTCTCACCAGCCACCGTTCCACCTTCCTCTTGACGAGACCAAGCTCTATGGTCTTCGGAAATGGTGGGAAGGTTTAATTGGACATGCAGATGGCCAAATACTCCCGGTGAGATGGCTGTTTACACAACACTTGTTCTTTCTCACTCCCAAATGACTTCAAACTGACAATTCACTCCAATACATGTAGCATCTAGCCATCAAGATCCTGTCAATCCACATCAATTCTATGCCGGAGGAGCACACTGTCTCCAACATGAACAATACCCAGCCGAAAAACCGCAACCGAATGTTCACGGACATGAATGGTGATCGTGTTCAAATCCGTCAATACTATAAGGCTACTAGAAAGGTGCACTATCTTTTGTACTAGTACAATATCCAAGTAGTATGCTAATGAGATTGTGATTGCAAACAGGCCCGTACCAAGCCAATCGTTCATCCAACAACCTTCCACTGTTATGGACTATCTTTTTGTCTTCTTTTCTTCTCGACATGTCTGATACCGCAGGAGACGCGGATGTGCAGTCTCGGTTTCCTTTTTATTTAATTACATACACATCATCCACTCATATGGCCGGTTGATGAACATTCCATGGACCTGTAGCCGTGTCTCGACTCCTCTCGTATTCTCGACTACGGACTACCTCGTTTCTCATAGCCTCGGACTGTGCTTCATAGCCTTGCATAGGCTTTGTACTATATTTATTGGGTACAGGTTTCCGCATCGACTACGGACTGGGGCACAGTACTAGCACGACTCGGTCTGACTTACTTATTAGCTTCATAGCCTCCTGCGGCTGCGTATGTATGTACTATATAAGGACGACCCTAGTAGAGGGGAGTTCTTTAACCTATTCATCTCTGATTTACCTCGTCTATCTACTCGTGCTTGAACTAGTCCTTTCAGCAGGACTAGCTTCCCTCATCGATACCTAGAACCTTTGACTGTGTAGAATCGCCACTACACCAGACCTTTGACCTAGAAGCAAGGCTTCTTAGAACACGGCCGATCGCACCTGTGATAGCTATCACACCTGCACCAGAACGCGCGTCCACTCTTGAATCTCTATTCAAGCCTGGACATTACATCCGCGATATCAAAAGCAAGGTTTTCCCTTCTTCCGACAACATCGAAGACCCCATCTCGGATGAAGAAGGAGACAACTGGCTCGATGACCCATTGGCGATCCCCGGTGATGTCTCCAAGATCAGGCCTATAGCCGACACTTTCATCAATCTACGCTCTGAGATCCTCAAGGATCTACTGGCAGATTCAGAGACTGATTTGGAGAACACAGAGGCGCTGAACACTGAGGGGGTCAAAGAGCGCTCAGGGGGTTTGAAGGGAGATGGCAATGACGAGAACTACAGTGTTCTCTTTTGATCATGGACTGTATCTATGCGGTTATCTCTGTGTACTTACAGAATTTGAGACGAGTGGCTAAGTGCCACTGTGGCCCGTTAGTCCACTGGTGGGCTAACTTGGAAGTGGTATCAGTGTGTTCGTCGACACTCTTACAGCTTATCTGTACATGTGCACATTGATATGTATTTTAGAATGTTTATATATGTACTCCAAGTCCCCCACCAACTCCCTGCCGACCGCAATAGCAGCTTGGGTACCCAGAAATGCAAAAAAGAGAGCAAAAATACATAATATATTCAAGCACGTGCAATTTTTTGCAGCTGTGACAGGGCATGCCACGAGTACCAGGACCCGTGAGTACCTGCAATGGATACTCGTAAGGCACACCATCGGGTACCTGTATCCGTGGATACAGATACTTGTTCCTATGGGTATGCGCACGGATACAGGTCTGATGCCGGGGCTCACAGGTACTCGTGGGAGAGTATCTGCCATATTCGTTATTTCCAGGCCGGAGCTGGCCAGAGGCCAGATGTTTGTCCAGCGACTCTGTCTCCTCGCTCTCCTCCTCACTCTCTCCCACTTCCCCGAGCGTACACCACTGTGTGATGGAATTGATACATGGTGTCACCATCAATGGTGGTGGTGCCTCTCATCCTGTGTACTTGTTTCTATAAAGATCTCGTGGGTCTTTGAGTGAATGAGTTTGGAGTCCCATCCCTTGCCATCGTAAAATCACTCGTTCTCGCTCAATACCGCGTACATTTCTGATGTAGTACCATCAATCGACGCGTCTTGATCCCCTGCATTGGGCCCTGCATTTAGTTTGACGAGAAACGACCTGCTCGTCGTTGAGAACGGCGGTGTTGACCCCGGTGAGTGCCCATTACCCCTCCAACCGTAAAAATGCTCGTTCTCGCTCAAATGGGCGCGTATTTTCGATGCAGTTGGATTGATCTACGTGTCCTGATCCCCTGCATCAGGCCCTGCATTTATTTTGACGAGAAACGGCCCGCTTGTCGTTGAGAACGGCGGTGTTGACCCTGGTGAGTCCCCATTACCCCTCTAACCGTAGAATTGCTCGTTCTCACTCAGTTTGGCGCGCGATTCCAACGTTGCATGGTCAATCGACGCGTTTGGATGTTTCTCATCGCCTCCTGTCCTTGGTTTGATGTGATTCGGCCCTCCTGTCGTTGAGAATGACGGTATTGACCTGGTGAGCATCCCCTGCTTCCCTCTACAGTAAATTTCCTCGTTCTCACTTAATTCCGCGTACATTTACAACATTGTGGGGTCAATTGACGTGTTTAAATCTCCCGCATCGCTTCCTGTCCTTGGTTCGATGGGATTCGGCCCACCCGTTGTCGAGAATGACAGTATTGACCTGGTCAGTACCCTCTACTTCCCTCTACCATCAATTTGTTCGTTCTCACTCAATTCCGCGTCAATTTCCAACTAATGTCCTTCATCACCTCCCATACTTCGTTTGACACGATTTGGCCCGTCCATCGTCGAGAACGACGGTATTTACCTGGTGAGTACCCTTATACCCCCTTCCCCAGCTCATATTTACCACAGTACCCACGGGTACCCCTCAGGTACCTTCAAAACACCCGTAGATTATCTATATCCATGAGTACCCGCCCATTGGCAAGTACCTGTATCCGTGGATATGAATACCCGTTCCCACGGATGCCACTCCGGATACAGGTACTCGCATGGATATAATCGTGGCATGCCCTGAGCCGTGACAAGTTGCGTACCGAGTGACTAACAAGTTCTGAACCTCCCTTACTTGGAACCCCTTGTAAGGTAGCTAGTACTTAACCAGTCACATTTTGTACCTTGAATTAACCTTCCTTCCTTCCTTCCTTCCATGCACTTTGAATGTTGGTGCAGCGACAAGGGGTTCACGGCGAGCATGCCAAAATGTGCTGTGATGTGCTTTGAGGCCACACCTAGGGGCAAGCAGCTCGCAGATCACCTGATTCTGCTGTATGGCGACCCGATCCGGTGGGTTGAAGAATACAAGTACGTCAGGACTATCTTCTACAGTACCGATGCAGACATCTTCTCCCACCACTTTGACTATAAGGCCCGATGGGTCATATGGGTGGCAAATGTTACGCTTCCTTCGGAGTCGATGATGGGAACACTGCCACCTAGGGAGGGCAGGATTATTTATCTTACACGCATTGATACAGCGATGATATTTGGTTATAAGGTTGCAAGCACCATAACCGAAGCCAATATCGCGAAGTTGGAGAAGATCCTGAAACGGTACATTCACTGTCTTCTGCGTATTCAGAAGAGATCCAAGCACCACATTCTATATTCCAAGACTAAAATCATGCCCATACGCTACTGCCTGCTCATCCTCGCCTGTGCTTCCTCTGTTATCTCGTTGTCATTCCTCTGGAGTGTCTCGTCAAATATGCATATCACGACGCACTGGACCTTGTGTGCTCAGGGAAAAGCGATTGGATCGGAGACCTTGTGATCATCCTCCAGCATCTGCACATCCCAGTCATCTTCAATTGCCAGACGATATCACCTGACGAGTGGATCAGATTGTCTACCAATGCCTCTTCCAAGAGCTGCTGCACAACTGAATAAAGATCAAGTGAAACAATCAGCAGGACCCGCACCTATGATCTGCCCAATTATGCTAACATGAAGTAGACTGATTTTGAAGGTTCTGACTATCTGATAAACATTGAGAAATGTATAAGATGGTGCAAATCATTTTTGGAAGGAACCAGTTTATTTATTCCGAATTTATAGCTTCAAGCTTGATCCAGTCGTAGTTTTGGACAGATCTCCGCCGGTCTAATCAAAAAAAGCAGGCCAGGTTTCATTTCTCAGTTAATGTAAACAAAATGAATACTAAGATAGACATTGTACCTTGGCCTTTTTTGTTTTCGGCAGAAATACCTGGCCAAATACGTTGTTGAATGCACCATCAAGCGCTGTACCTGCAACCTTCCCGCCAATCTTCCCAACACCCATCCCACCACTCGAACTAGTCCCCCTTCGAAACAGTCCACCTTTCCCTTTCTCATTCAAAGCCGAACCTACATCGAGGGTCAGCTGGGACGCGCTTGGAGCATCGGACGGCTTTGGGCACTTGGCTTCGTTCAGAGTTTCCGACATCGAAAGCTTTCGTTTGGTGACCACCGGAGGTATCGGGGCGGATGGAAATGTGGTTGATTTTGGAAGTGTCGGGGTGAAAACAGTGGATCCTGGGCACGTCAACGACTTTGGAATATCAGGTGCGTTAGCAATAAATTTAGTGTCATGAAATATCAGAGTATGTCAATAAGAATCCTTGTTGATCGGTAGAACGGCAGACATACCCTCTCCTGAATGAGCCTCACGACACTAATAAAGGCATCAACACGAGCTTTGTTAGGTTTCTTCAGATCCATGAGCTGCGTGTCTGGGTAGCAGAAGTGGCGAAGTGTATTTGCGCTAAGGAGACCGCACGAATCGCCGTCACCTGGTGCTTGAGAGGAACATGGCAGTGAGTGCACGGTGAAGGTGCCACTGTGATAGTGGCCCAGCCACCAGATAAAAACATCAATGAGTTCTTGAGGTGCTGCATGGCCCATAGGATCGGCGAAGTAGAGTGACAGTGGTTCTGTCTGGATGACCAGGAAGACCCAGTTGGCCTGGCAATCGGCGCTCGGGAGCGTGAGCTGTCCACCTAGACAGACGGCAACACTGATGCAAAGTGCCCACCAGAACGTGCAGGGGCATTACAATGTGAAGCCAGAAGTCCCGTCCATCACATTGTAATTCCAGCGGAGTCCCTCCGTTGTTACCTGGCAGTACTTCCTTGCTTCTTCTGCTTACTCAGCCAGGGAAGCTGTCGGACCTGTCTAATGATCTCGGCTTCTCCTAATCTGGATGCTTGCCCATCATTTATTATTAATGGGCTTGCCTTTTCGGCTTTTCTTGCCCTAGACTTGGGTTTCCTGTTCGGCCTTGGCCTATGGCACTAGCCCTTGTAGCTCAGCCCTACCCTCCCTCCTTCCTCAGCATATTATCAGTTCTGACCTGACTATGTATATAAGTAGTAGATGTACCTACAGTATAAATCTACTAAATAGAATTTTATTAGACCCTAATCTATAGCCTGTACTAATTTATCTCGATTTTCTCGTATTTTGTAGCCCTGGTGTGGCCCTACTTTCCCCCAGGTCCTGCACTTGTTTTTGCAGCTGGACCATCTCAAATATGAGCTGTTGAGCTTCATATACATATACCTTACTCATACAACCTCTGACCACACCAGGAAAACTACAGGAAAGGGTAGAACTCGAATATATTTCGCATTTTTACTCTAATTATAAAATACAGGCTCTATAAAACTCTACAGTACAGGAATAGGGACAGGGAGGGATATTTCATGTAGATAGATAGGCTAGGGAAGTATACAGATAGAAAAGAGAGCAGGATCAAAGGTTCCTGCTACTTTAGAGGGGCAGGAGGAGGTGGAAAGGGATAGGAGGAGAAGGTGGCCATAGGAAAGGAATGAATGGATAAATAAGCGAAATCTCACCATGGCCAAACTCATATAGGTCCATAGATACTTTCCAAACACAAAAAACCCGAGCCAGAGGGCTAGGAAGAGCTGGGCTGAGTGTTGGGCTTGGGAGGCTGGCAGGGCAGTAGGCTATTGTGAGTGAACCAGTGGAGGGAGAGGGATGGGGACAGCTGGATAGTATAGAGGGAGTCCGGGAATGATGGCACAAAAGTTGGTTGGGTTAGTGGAAGGGCTGGATGGATGGGGAGGAGGTGATGCAGGGCATGCCACGAGTACCAGGACCCGTGAGTACCTGCAATGGATACTCGTAAGGCACACCATCGGGTACCTGTATCCGTGGATACAGATACTCGTTCCCACGGGTGTGCGCACGGATACAGGTCTGATGCCGGGGCTCACAGGTACTCATGGGAGAGTACCTGCCATATTCATCATTTCCAGGCCGGAGCTTGCCAGAGGCCAGATGTTTGTTCAGCGACTCTGATCTCTCCTCGCTCTCCTCCTCACTCTCTCCCACTTCCCCGAGCGTACACCACTGTGTGATGGAATTGACACGTCATGTCGCCATCAATGGTGGTGCCGCTCATCCTGTGTACTTGTTTCTATAAAGATCTCGTGGGTCTTTGAGTGAATGAGTTTGGAGTCCCACCCCCTTGCCATCGTAAAATCGCTCGTTCTCGCTCAATAACGCGTACGTTTCTGATGTAGTACCATCAATCGAAGCGTCTTGATCCCCTGTATTGGGCCCTGTATTTTTTTTCATGAGAAACGGCCCACTTGTCGTTGAGAATGGCGGTGTTGACCCCGGTGAGTGCCCACTACCCCCTCAAACCGTAAATTTGTCCGTTCTCGCTCAAATCACGCGTTGTTCTGGAAGTAATGACACCAATCGACGCGTCGTGAGCTCCCCCATCGGGCCCTGCACTTACTTTTAGGAGAAACGGCCCGCTCATCATTGAGAACGGTGGTGTTGACCCCGGTGAGTGCCCACTACCCCTCCAACTGTAAGAATGCTCGTTCTCACTCAAATGGGCGTGCGTTTTCGATGTAGCTAGATCGATCGACGCGTATGGATGTCTTGCATCGCCCCTGGTACTTTGTTTGACGAGAAGCGATCCGCCTGTCATCAAGAACGGCGGTGTTGACCCTGGTGAGTCCCCATTACCACTCCAACCGTAAAATTGCTCGTTCTCACTCAGTTTGGCGCGCATTTCCGATGTTGTGGGGTCAATCGACGTGGTTGGATGTCTCTCATCACCCCCTGTCCTTGGTTTGATGCGATTCGGCCCGCCCGTCGTCGAGAACGACGGTATTGACCTGGTGAGTACCCCCTGCTTCCCTCTACAGTAATTTTGTTCGTTCTCACTCAATTCCGCGTACGTCTATGTTGTTGCACGGTCAATCGACGCGGATTATCGTCCCGCATTGTCCCCTGCCCTTGGTTTGATGCGATTCGGCCCACCCGTTGTCGAGAACAACGGTATTGACCTTGTGAGTAGGGCCCCTTCCTACCTCCTATCGTAAATTTCTTCGTTCTCACTCAATTCCGCGTACATTTCCGACATTGCAGGCTCAATTGGTGCGGACTAATGTCCTTCATCACCTCCCGTACTTCGTCTGACGCGATTTAGCCCGCCCGTCGTCGAGAACAACGGTATTGATGTGCTGAGTACCCCTATACCCCTTTCTCCAGCTCATATTTACCACAGTACCCACGGGTACCCCTCAGGTACCTTCAAAATACCCGTAGATTATCTCTATCCATGAGTACCCACCCATTGGCAAGTACCTGTATCCGTGGATATGGATACCCGTTCCCGCGGATGCCACCCCGGATACAGGTGTGGCCTCTGACGGCACAGGTACTTGTTCCCATGGATACAGGTACTCGCACGGATATAATCGTAGCATGCCCTGGGGTGATGTGGCACCAACATGGACCTGTAACACAATTTCTGGGGCTCTCAGAAGCGAAATTAAAGCTAGAAACATTAGTACTCACCTATCAGGTCCTTTCCAATCCATCAGAGAACTCTGCATCATCTCCAGAAAAGAGAAAAAGGCGAAATTACGATGCCTGAGGAACGAAGGTACATCGTTTATACTACTCCTTTCTTTTGCTTCTTTTCTTTGTTAGGTTTGGCGGTGACCCGCGCAACGCAAGGTTCATGCAGACCCCTAACCCTGTATTTTGGTCCACCGGACTGGTCCACAGACCTTCCACGTGACGTCTATCCTCGCTGAACTGTTATCTGCCTTGCCTTTGTTACCTAGCCCATCTGCACTGATAGGATGCCATCGGAGGTACGTTGACCTTTTGCTAGTCCTGTAGTGGTCCTTTTTGATCTTGTAATATCCATAGGAATTGGTCTTTCATCAAGACTTTGCGCTTGCACTGCATATTTCCATTTTGCACCCAACATGGAGTATCTTTATCATCATTACCAGACTGTCCTATTTTTCAGGAGTAGGTCCCTATATATCTACATCTACTAAATGCTACATCTACTAAATGTATCTACATCTACTAAAATACAGACAGGAAGTATAACCAGGCGTGGAACATCACATGGTCATACATCTATTTGGCTCCATACACAAGGTCAGTGTGGCACTCCATTCTCACTGTTCTTTTTGATGTTTGACTCATAAAACACGTAAACCTGACTGTGTATAGGGTAGCAGACACCGTAGGCCACACATCATGTATCTATCTTTGGTAGGTATAGACATATCTCTAAACCTAATGCCAGCATGAGTGATCTTCGGGGAGTAATGTGCGGTGCGTGGATAAATGATCTTGGAGGTCGCTCAAACCGAACACTATCTCATCCATATCGTTCATTATTGCCCAATGTTACAGTAACGGGATAAGACATACCTGCTGCAGCCATCGTATTTTCTTCTCCGTCATCGATATCCGCCTCATAATCTGTATACGCCTGAGCATCATTATATTCTCCTGTACAGTAGTCGTAGTCTCCATATTCATCTTCATTGGCGTACGGATCCGCTAGGCCTGGCCACCTTATCATCATCAATACTTCGCCATGCCATTCCAGCCCAAGATGCTCTCTGATAGACTTATTCTCCGGGGCGGTCGGATCGTAGGTGTAATACATGTCGAAGCTTTGCATGCAGACTTGTAGATATTCGTCGATACAAATGGTGATCTTGTGGACTTGGCCATTCATGATGTCGCTGGTCGTAACTGTGCCGTTGTCATCTACAGCAGCATCATACTCTTGAATTGACCCCTCGGAAGGGAAGCGAAGGCCCAGTATACCTGTTTATCTCAGTATATAAGCCTTTCAAGCTCAACCCGAGGCTACTCACGCATCATTGGGATCTATACTCAATATTAGTCTGTGCTACCGGTGTAGGTATTACATCAGAATACAGGACCTTCTATTATATGACGAATATATGATACTCACCGAAGAAAGTGTAGAGCGTCAGAGTGCAGTATGAGGTTGGGGATTCAGAGACGTCGCTGCGCTCTAAAGAGCTATCTATTTATCGCTGCTCGCTCGGATGGTCCGGGTTCTAGTGTGTTCTTATTTGCCTCGTGAATTGCCTCATGCATCTGGCTTTTTGTCAAAGTACATAACAATTACATACATACTCCACAAACAAATCAATAGGTACCAAAACATGAGCAGTAGGTAGTAGCATCTAGCTATAGAGTACGAGGAAGGGTAGGTAAGCGTGTGAAGATATGATAAAATACCTGGCAGTACTGTTGAATCATCCTCTTTTCCAAACGCTCAAATACAAAAAAAGGTATGTTAGCCCAGTCAACCTCAGCACGCAGTTCTGGATTACAGTATATACCCCATCCTCGCATCAAGGCAATCATATTATAGACGTACTTCTTTCTTTCCTTCCAGTCCCCATCAGCCAGCCCACATCTCGCAAAACTCGGATCTGCAGTATAGATGAGAGTTTCCCCAGTATCGCCACCGTAAAAGCAGGAAAGAACAGCTGCTTCACGCTGGAGCCAATAAAGCTGGACATCTTGGTTTTCCACAGGACCTGTTACAACTCGGCGATCAAGGGAGAGCAACTCGTATTTGAAGTTGAGCTCATGCAGCGCCCACATGGTGCTACGCTCTGTGATAAGGTCTTCCTCGTTTGATCGTAGTTTCGCTCGTGTGTAAATGTCGTGAATGTGAGGTCGAGGAAAGCCTTCATACCAACAACGCTCGCGAACCGTCCTCCAACAGGCATACTTTGTCGCATCTTTGAGGGTCTGAAGATCGTCCGCCTCTGGAACACCACCGTCGAATGGAATACGAAGTACTGTTTTCCACTCTTGAGCGTTCATCACAGTTGATCGACCATTCGCCACACTGGCAATCCAGGCGGGCTCTATAGCTTTCCACGTCTCGATCCTGATGAAGAATTCGGAGGGTTGGATTGTATAGAAGCTGAGTGGTTTCGGATAGGGTAGACAGCGATCATGGCGCCACGAGGGAGGTATTGGACGGAGGTAGAGAACTTCTAGATTGACATTGGCGAGGACATTATGCCAAGAAGGTATAGGGGGCGGAGCCCAAGGGACATTGGGTTCCATGGTTTCCCTTGCGTCAATTCTTGCAGGGACATCGACTAAATTTGAACTTGTCAGAATTTATATCAAGGTGATAGATATGTGCAGGCATATACGTACGTGCTCTATTGCTCTCATTACGTCTCGCCGACATATACTTGCCGACTTGACGTGTTCCTTCCGGAAATGCTGGTGTGTCGGACATCCATCCAGGAATATTGGCAGCCGTAATTGCGTTGATACTGAACGCGTCTGGTGTGGTGAAGAATACACGGGAATGATATCGGATCGCGTGGTAACGGCTGGCTGTTGGTTTATAAGAACCTTTGAATATAAAACCCGGCCTCGGTCGTAGGTTGTCGTCCAGGGGGCCAAGTTCAGCGACAGAAGTCAAACGGCTCTCGGAGCGAATGATTTGCTTGCCGAACGTGTTGTAACGCTGCAGGAGCCAAACTGGGACTCCCATGCGCAGGAACGCTGCAACAGTTCCTTCATCAGTCGCATACGCACCGACCACATGTGATGTGCTGGTGGCTGGTTCGACAGTGAATTGTTGTGCCGGCTGGTGGAACTTTCGGTACCAGTTGTCGAGACCGGCGATTTCGAGCCACGCGCGGCAAATGTCGGCATAAAGGAATTTGGTGGAATGTAGAGTCGATTGGATTGTCTCGAGACGAGCATAGTTGTGTCGCATCCGATTAATGAGCTCTTCGACTTGTGGTGTATGCTGGGCGTGGCGTGGATTGTGTTGGCGTAGGAATGTGAGGAGCGCAGACCCACGAGTCTTCATGGTGTCGATGGAATGTAGAAGGTTGGTTAGCATCAAACCCCGAATGCGTACAAGTTTGTCGGACATGGGTTTTCCTGAAGTCGGATAAGCGTCCTCGATATCGCTGTCTTTGAGCGCTGAAAACATATGCTCGTGGCCGCAGAGATCATCGGCTTCAGTCCTCGGGGTGCGAGGGATGCAAACCATGTGTGGAATGGATGGGTCGGCGAACTGGGGTACGAAGAGATATTCGTCTGGTCCATAGAAACCATCGAAACGGGCGAAGGTCTCGTGTATGTCGAGGTTGATGCTGGGGATCCAATTTGCGTTGGGCGAAGATATGAACGAATCGTACTTCATGAGGTGGGCCCCAACAAGGCCGTCGAATACACCTATTTCTTCTGTAAGGTATATTTGTTAGTAACATTTAATCACAGGTCATATTCAACGTACCTCCCCAGTCCGCATTTGCAAATATATGCGGCACTTCAACCGTCGTAGAGTACTCATATTCACTTGATCCATGGTCTGGGCTGGCTGGAGTTTCCGTGGCATATTCCATACTGCAAAACTATCAGTCAGTAGGTGGAGCATACACAATTCGAGTATTATGGAAACATTCGCCCATGCCAGTGGTGATGCATGAAGACACCGGCCTGTTGTCGCTACACAGCCTGCTGGGTATACAGCACGGATATAGTAGCATCCTGTGAGTGACACGCGAAAGCGCCCGAGCGTCGTCTGTACCGGTGTCAGGACAGGGCCACCCGCCCCTGTCAACTTGCATATACAGCGACTCGGTCTACTGCAGGGTTTTAGGGGCGACTCGAAGTCTACCCCCACGCTATTTTGATAGTATTAGGGGCGACTCGAAGTCTACCCCCACGCTATTTTGATAGTATGAAGAATCTGACTTACATGTTGTTGGGGAGACGGTGCGTGGTGAGGGTTAGCGAACGAGTGTGATGGAAAGTCGTGTTCACAACTTGCAGCTCGATTCGTTATTGTCTCACGCTGTCTTTGTGCCACTTTGTGTGGCCCTCTTTGTTGAAAGGGCTAATGTTTCACACAAAACAGTGTATCTACCCGATTGTATATACTACAATATGTTTGGGAGCTTTATATGAGTGCCAACTCCACGTTACCGTCGGCGTTGGACTCGAAACTGTCCACAATCTGACATACTCTGATATAACACGACGGCTAGGACGTCACCCAACTCTCCCTCCAGCTCACCCACCATGGCACTCTGTCTGTTCCTGTCAATCCAGTCCGTGGTCTCCCTCGTGACCGACAGTATAGCCTTATTGTCATCGTCCGAGTTCTTGCTACCCACGCCCTCCTGGTCGCCGAACTGGCCCCTCACATTGGATGTAGGAAGAGAGGGAGTTGAGGGCTTCGATGCGACGGTGTTGAGCCTCATCCTCGGACGCAAACTCCTCGGCCTCCTTGATCATGCGCTTGATTTCGTGCTTGGAGAGACGACCCTTCTCGTTTGTGATGGTGATAGACTCGGACTTGCTACTATAGAGTCAAGGAAACGAAAGGAAAATCAGTCTCGAATTCAGAGGGTAGACGATGGAATGGTACGTACGTTCCCTTATCGGCGGCGCCAACCTTCATGGTACCATCGGCGTTGGCCTCGAAGGTGAGGTCGATCTGAGGGACACCACGGGGAGCAGGAGGGTTACCAGAGAGCTTGAACTTGCCGAGAAGGTTGTTGTCCTTGGTCAAATAATGTTCACCCTCGAACACCTGGATCAACACGGTGGGCTGGTTATCGGTCGCAGTCGAGAAGCTACGAATAATGCGTCAGCCGGATTGATGCGAATAATATAAAAGGAAAATAACGTACATTTGGGACTTGCGGGTGGGTATAACGGTGTTACGGGCGATGAGCTTGGTGAAAACACCGCCGGTGGTCTCGATACCGAGGGTAAGGGGGTAGACATCGACGAGGACGACATCCTCGGTTCCCTCCACACCGGATAGGATACCACCCTGGACGGCAGCACTATAGGCGACGGCCTCATCGGGGTTGATACCCCTGGACGGCTCCTTGCCACCGAAGAACTCCTTCAGGAGCTGCTGGACCTTGGGGATACGAGTCGAACCACCGACAAGGACAACCTATAAATCGGAATAGTCAATACCAAAAAAAGGTATAGAGAGCAATCGACAGACCTCGTCGACATCCTCCTTCTTAACACCGGCGTCCTTGAGAACCTGCTCGACGGGCTTCATCGTCTTTCTGAAGAGGTCCAAGTTCAATTCCTCGAACTTGGCCCTGGTCAAGGTCTCGGAGAAGTTGTTGCCGCCCTCGAAGCTCTCAATCTCGATCCTCGTGTTCTGCTGGGAAGACAAAGTCCTCTTGGCCTGCTCGACCTCCCTCTTCAGCTTTCCAAGCGCGCGAAGGTTGCCAGAAACGTCAGTGCCGGTCTTCTTCTTGTAGAGCTTGGTAAAGTACTCGATAACACGGTTGTCGAAATCTTCACCACCGAGATGGGTGTCACCGGCGGTGGCGAGGACCTCGAAGACACCGTCATCGATGGAAAGGAGATATACATCGAAAGTTCCACCACCGAGATCGTAGACGATGATCTGAGACTCGCCACCCTTCTTGTCGAGACCGTAGGCGATGGCGGCAGCGGTAGGTTCGTTGATGATACGGAGGACCTGGAGACCAGCGATGGTACCAGCATCCTTCGTGGCCTGGCGCTGAGCGTCGTTGAAGTCTGGTAAAGAATAGTGGGTAAGTTCAGATTCTGAAGTGGCAAGGTAGCGAACGACGTACAGGCTGGGACGGTGACGACGGCGTGAGTGACTTTCTTGCCGAGGTAAGCCTCAGCGGTCTCCTTCATCTTCATCAAAACCATAGCGGAGATCTCCTCGGGTGTCTAAAGCGATGCATAAAACCCGTTTAGCAAACAATACTCGAAGTTGCGGGAGGTGAGAGAGATCGGCGTACGAAGTCATGGGGCGCTCCCTTGTATTAAACTTGGACCGACGGCTTCCCACCCTTCTCAATGACCTTGAAAGGCCAGTGCTTGATGTTGTGCTTGATTTCAGGCTGGTCCATCTTGCGACCGATGAGACGCTTAGCATCGAACACGGTGGCTTCTGGGTTGGAGTGGAAGGCGTTCTTTGCCGAGTTACCAATTCTGCCAACGAAATACTATATCAGAATGCAAAACACGGTGAGTTTTGGAGAAGCAGATCCTTACAAATGTTCATCGTCAGTGAAAGAGACCCATGATGGCGTTATCCGGTGACCCTGGTCGTTGGCGATAATTTCGACACGTCCCCCACGGTGAACACTGTCAAACAATGAGTCATTAAGGCGTACAGTCCCATGAGACATGAGAGACTCACCCAACACACGAATACCTGTAGGCGTTGACACGTCGTGAGTAATTCTGCAGTTAGAATGATCCTGGAAGCTCGACATACGTTGTACCAAGATCTAGTGGTGAACAGGCGATCAGGACCAGTTTTCAAAGCACGAGAAGAAAGGGCACGTACCAATACCGATAACAGTGCCATAGTCAGGCTTTTCTGAATCTGCGCTTACTGGCGGGCAGAGGCAGATGAGTGCGACGAGGAGAACAAAGAGGAACGACAGGCCGGAGAAGAGCCGGCCTGTGTGCGTCCGCGAAGGACGGGACATTGCGGTGGTCTTTGTCAGCCAGGGCGTGCCAGACGACCTTTCCGCCGTCCATCTCGCCCTTCCGGGCGTTCATTTCCTTCCAGCGCTGCAATACCATATCCACCAGGACTTCCCTGTGCATCGGAATGCCTCACAACATCAGCCATCTCCTGTAACGCGTCTAACATCGTCCGACGGGTGAGCGGCCGTGAGCTGACGGAATAAGCACGGATTGTCGGTGTTGGAGAGTATGAGGGCTCAGGAAGTGGACCAGGTGAGCATGGAGGGGAAGAGCTCGGTGCGGTCGTGCAGGGGAGCTTGGCGATGTCTGCGTCGGAGAGGTGCGAGGAGATGGAGAGGGGAGGAAGGAGAGAGGAGGGTTGCAGGGGGTCATGACGGGAGAGGTATCGCCGGAGAGGAGGGATGAGAGTTCGCGGAGGAGGGGATCGCGAGCTTCGGATAGGTAGGTTAGAGGGAGGATGTACGGATTACTGTCTTAGTCCCTGAATGAATATATGAGTATATACGCGTAGTAAGTGAAAAAAAAAGTACCTGAGAGGCGCGATACCCGCACAAAGCCGGTAGAATCTCCCTAACGACATTCGCCTCCTCCCCGTCAACTAGTTGTCCCGGTGCACCCAAGTGTGTAAATGAATCGGAGGACATGCGGGCGATGCTGCTGCGGGCGAGACGGGCGCAGAGGGTGCGACGGATGGAAAGACGAAGAGCGCGGATGGCGCCGGTGGAAGACTGGATGGCGGAGCGGATGGAGCGCGGCGGGTATTGAGTAGGAGAGGCCGGTGCGGAGAGCGGGATAAGGGGGAGGCAAGATCTGGAGCGGGGTGAGAGAGGGAGGGAGGTGGGAGGAGGTGGCGTTTGAGGATGAGGAAGCAGGTGAACGCGTAGGGCCCGTTTAGGAGCGGGTCGAACGCGTTGACGATCTCGCGTTCGAGCGGGAGAGAGTCGAACTGGGTCAGGTCGTTGATGGAGAGTCTGGGCAGTGGAGAAGAGTAGAAAGCGAGGGCACGGAAGAGGATGGGGAGGATGGACTGTAGGTGGACGGGCGAGAGCGTGGTGATCTGCGCGAAGAGGTGGTTCAGGTAGACCGGGATGGCGATATCGAGGGGACGTCGGTTTGTCGTTAGCGGCGTTACGCTCGTGGGCGATGCGAGCGGGATGGATGCACTCGATGGGTGTCGTCGGTGCGAGTGCGTCAGTCGGGTCGGGGTCGTCGATTGCGTGGGGAGTTCGAGAGTACCAAACCAGTCCGAAGGCAGGGCAAGGGCGCGTTCGACGATGGATGCGAAGAACGCAAGCACACCTGCGATATCGGCCTCGCTCAGTCGTGCCAGTGTATCCGGGCGGGACATGAGTTCGGTGAGGAAGGCAGCGAGCCAGTCGACGGAGCGCTCTCTCTCTGTCCGGTCTGCAGCCTCGATCGCACACTCCCGATACCGTCCGATCGCTTGCTCTGCAATGTGCTCTGCAGGATCCGGCTGATGCGAAGCGTCAGGTCTGGCGAACGGCACGCGTTGCTGTTCGACATCGTTTTGTACCAGAGCGAGAGGGACATCGAAGTGCGGGACAACGTCTGACGCGCGAGGTCGGCGAGACTGCCTCTGTAATAGTATTAACATCACCGTTGTAAATTGTTGTGAGAGAAACGAAACAGACGCACCTCAGGAACTTGACCCCTCCCGTCGTCCTCGAACTTGAACCTTTCTGCCCCTGCTGACTCACCTCCAACCCCACCCTCATCTCCCTCTCCCCGGCATCTTCCCATCCTCCAACGCCCGCAGGAACCTCCGGCACCCCGTTCTGCAGCAGGTGCATACCGAGAAGCTGGGCTGAGGCGGAGGTCGGGTTGTGAATCACGTCGGTGAGTAGGGCGATTGAGGTGCGTGAGATGGGAGTGAGTTTCTTAGTCGGCGTCGTTAGGGATGTGGAGGCGGGAAGAGGGGGTGGGGGTGAGGGCATGGGTTTATGGGAAGAGTATGAGAGAGGTTTATTGTGCGGGTTTGGGGGAGGTCGGAGGGGCGTTACGGGTTTCGCATTATTTGATAGGTGGACGGGCGAGAGCGTGGTGATCTGCGCTGAGAGGTGGTTCAGGTAGACCGGGATGGCGATATCGCGGGGACGTCGGTTTGTCGTTAGCGGCGTTACGCTCGTATGCGCTCGATGGGTGGCTAGGTGCGAGTGCGTTTGTCGAACTTAGGAGCGGGTATTCGTTCGGACGAAGGCTTGGAATGAGGGGGAGGCGTTGTTACGGAAAACCCATCGGCTGGAGCGAGGCGGGGACATTTGAATGGGTTGGGGTTGGTGGTGGTGGTGGTGGTGGTCAGACGCGACGGCGGAATAAAGGGAGGGATCGGGGTTAGTGGTGTGCCACACGGAAGCAAATACGAAACCGAAACGAAAATAAAGGTGGGGAAAGACTGGGACGCACTTCGTTTGGCGGGTGACGTTTCTGCATCGGATTGTTTGGATCTCGGCTCGTGTAAGTGACTAGAGCTCGTGCAAGTGGCTAGAGAAGGAGGAAGGAGGAGCGAAGTGGGTACGGGTACGCGCAAAGCGATGGACGGAAAGCACGGAACGGTGGGAGTGTCGCTTCGGGACTGCAGGTGGACGGGCGAGAGCGTGCGGAGCTGGGAGGAGCTCAGGTAGACCGGGATGCAGATATCGATAGGGCGTCGGGTTGTCGTTAGTGGCGTTACTCTCATTGGCGAGGCGAGCGGGATGGATGCGTTCGATGGGTGGCGCCGGTGCGAGTGCGTCAGTCGGGTCGGGGTCGTCGTTTGCGTGGGGAGTTCGAGAGTACCAAACCATTCCGTGGGCAGGGCAAGGGCGCGTTCGACGATGGACGCGAAGAAGGCGATAACGCCTGTGACGTGTCCCTACAGTAGATATATCAGCATATAGGCATGGTAAGAGAAACAGAGAGCATACTCGAGAGGCGCGCCCATGCCCTGTCCATCAAATCGGTATCCATATTCAAGTACGATATCCAGCGGGTAGACGGTAAGGACATAAGCCAGACGAGATATTGCACGACGTGACGACTGCGTTGAAACGCTTGCCAGTCACGATCGTGCGAGTAACCAAGCAACGCGGCGAGCCGTAGTCTATCACTGAAGCAAATATATCGGCGACTCGTAGTCTACCGCTGAAGCAAACATGTCGGCGACTCGTAGTCTACCGCCTTGAACGAGAGTCCGACACAAAGGGACGTTGGCAAATAGAGAAGACGGAACGCGTGAAGCCAGACGCGACTCCGCCACGTGGCCATACCGCCACGTTGTCCCTTTCAGATATGGACGCACTGAGTCGCGCGACCGTTTCCTTTCGAACTGCTCCCTCTTGTCTTTCTTCGTGTCTTTGCTGGCCTCTGATTTCGTCGTTTATTTTTTGAGTCTTCGCTGGCCTTGGATCTCATGTCGTATCTCCGGTAGACTTCGAGTCGCCGTTCTTTTGTCTTGGTAGACTTCGAGTCGCCAATGTCGTGTCTGGGTTCGAGAGGCTGTTATATTGTCTTGGTAGACTCCAAGCCGCCACTATGTTGTGTCTGGATTTGAGTCGCTGTTCCCGTCTACTTACAGTGTACCTGCGCGTTTGGCTGGAGTCCATAGGAGCACGCGCGGGTCTCCTCATTGGTGACCTGGGCCTCAGACTCGTCAAACGGGATCCGTCGGGTTTGGTGCAGTATTCAATGGCATGCGATGACGCATTAAGCGTCGTCGTTGGTGAAACGACGACGCTTCCTGCGTCATCGTATGCCCTCGAATGCCCTGAATATGGGTGATATAATACTCCGGCTCTGTGCACTGTGCCCGACAGGTCGGTATACCAAGTACATTGGAATGTGCGTCTTTCTTTTTCTTGTTCTTTTTCTATCTCTCATGCTTCTTCTCTATTTCTCGGCTCCGTGTACTGTGCCTGGCAGCTCGGCATAAGGAGCGAATCGGAACTGCCGCCTGTTCAGTGCCTGACCAGGTCGATAGGAGGTATGGGGTTGGTCGGTTTTCGCGCAGTGCTCAGTGGCATGCGATGACGCATTAAGCGTCGTCGTTGGTGAAACGACGACGCTTCCTGCGTCATCGTATGCCCTCGAATGCCCTGAATATGGGCCAATTATTCTTCCGGCACTGCACAGTGTCCGACAGGCAGGGCAAGCAAATCGGAACATTCGGATGCCCGGCGCCCGGTGATTTCGACACAGGAGGTACGGATTTGCTTTATACTCAGGGACTGTCGGTTTGTTCGCAGTGCACAGTGGCATTCAATGACGCATTAAGCGTCGTCGTTGGTGAAACGACGACACTTCCTGCGTCATCGTATGCCCTCGAATGCCCTGAATGCCCTGAATATGGATGATATTATATGGTGGCTCTGTGCACTGTGCCCGACAGGTCGGTGTGCCAAGTACATTGGAATGTGCGTATCTCTTTTTCTCATTCATTTCATTCATTTCCTTTTCTTATTTTTGTCTTATCCATCTCCCGTCTCTGTACGCCGGGCCTGTCAGCTCGGCATAATGAGCGAATCAGAACGTTCGCCTCTTCAGTGCTTGGCGAGGTCAACAGGAGGTACAGTTGTTTCATATTTGCTTCTTCTTCTTCCTTCTTCTTATTTGTTGTCATCCTGGCTGATCTAGTGATTTTCCGTGACTAGTTATTTCAGAGTGGATGGGCGACAGGACGGTTCCGGTGGAATTCACAAATGGTGAATGTCTATACTCAGCGTGGAATACCCTAGACCAGCACATCCTTTATCCCTTTTGTAAATATGTTCATTTTTATCCAACTTGTCTGGTTTTTATGTTATTTGCCCTGGTGCTGTCCGTAACCTCGGCCCAAAACCCAATCAAGTTGTTTCTTGAATTCCTTGGTACCTGATCAGTGAGATCGAGATTGCTATATCAATCTTGGTGATGGATCTGCGATTGACCCCCTCTTCAGCCAAATAACCGGTGAGTGTACATTGTCCCTACTCTCGGTTCTGCATTATTAATGATCGCTCGTCCCCATCCGCCACATTTTGCCTTTCTCTTCTCGCCTCCATCTACTTTTCCCTCTTCCCCTCTCTTTAAGTTGCTTTTGCCCCTGTGGCGTTCACAATGGCTGACACCAACTTCTATGAGGGCTCTCGCTTTGACATACCTGGCGCTACTCCTGTCCCTGGCCTCGAAAACCGCCCAAGCTACCTTCCTCGTCTGTTCATCGTCGATAACCATGTCCAACATCCCGATCATAGCTTTGGGTCTATATATGTTTATCTTGAGGACACTAAAGATGCTGAACGTATGAAGCGAATCCGTAAATACACCAAGGGCCTGAAGATCCCTAGTGGAAGCAAAGAGTTTCTCATGCATGATTGCGGTCAGTTTTTTTAATCTTGTCTTTTTGGTTGTTTGTTGAGGTAGACTTCGAGTCGCCTCTGCTTGCATTGTTTTGCCTGGTAGACTTCGAGTCGCCATATCTCTGTCCCCCCCCTTTCCCGTCATACATCCCTTCCTTTGCGATCTTTATTTCCTCTTTTGTGCTGTGTTTTATTTGCCGAGCTATTCCTGCTTTCAGACGTCTCATCTGTTCTCTCCATCCCATGTCACCTATTCTGCATCATTTGTCTGTACAGGATTATTGCATGCGGAGGATGGTGACGTCCTATTTGCCAGGCCGATTGGTGGAGATTCGAGCGGAGCGAACGATTCTCTTCAACTCATGGCCTTCGGAAAGTGAGTTTATTTATTGATTCACGTCTGATGTTTCTGTTACTAATACTTTAAACTTAGGCGATGGATAACAATTCCCGTTGTTCAAAGCCTACTAGAGTTTCGCAAAAATATACTTGGGCCAGACAGCGAAATCAAACCGGACGATGGTGCGAACGGTACTGCGTTTGAGCGGGAAGGACATTGTAAGGGTATAGGCGCTGGCACTCGCGCTTATAATCTTGCGGTTTCGGTGGAGAAACAAACCCAAGTCAGTGCACCAGCCGGTCAGGGGAAGGGGTCAGTCGGAGAATTGGAAGAGGGTGTTCGGCTTAGGCAAGGCGCAATCAAGGTATATTTCTTTACTTATCTAATCTCTGTATCACCTCTAATCAAGTTTGTAGCATTCGACGGAAGTGGGGATGTACTTCGCGAATATGCTTCCTGGACGTTGGAAAGAGGTGGTCTCCAAACAATCTGATCTCGTCAATGCGCCTCGCATTGGCGTCGATCATAACCGAATGTTCGGTAATGTTCAGATGAACATTGCCTCTGCGAAAAAGAAAGAAGGTTTGTTGATTCCTTTCATCTAATACGAGTCTTTACTGATATAATCATCTAGCTGGAAATCAGCTAAATTCTCTTGGCTTCTTTGGTGGTGCTCATATAGACAAAGGCGACTCTGACGGTGCGCTCACTGCAATGCTGGGTTGTAATTATATACCGGCGGAGGGTTATCATGGCGGGTTCTTTCATCTAATTGAGTTGGGAGTATTTGTTACCTTAGAGAGTTTCAATTGCCTATTCTTTTCTGGTCTCCGTCTTCATGGTGGTACTGCTCCAATTTGTACGGACGCTACGCGTTGGGTTGATTTTGCCACTCGACTTGTTTTTGTTCTCTATCCTCCCCGTCACATTCTGAATAACTTCTCGATTACGGCATTTGCTTCTGTTGATACACGTCTACGTAATGCCGAACAAGAGCATCAAGCTCGTCTTGCCGCTAAGAAGACGATGAGGGAAGAGAGGCGAAAGGAAGAGGGCGCAGACTCTGATACGGAAGGAGAGGAAGAGTTGGATGATGTGACATTCGAGGAGGGCAAGGCGTTTAAGGTCAACTATCCGAACATGTTGAAGTTTCCTTCGTCTATTAAAAACAAGTAAGTCTATCTTATTCATTGGAAATTTTCTAATCTCATTTGCTTGCATGTAGTCCTCAGAATCCACATGTCCAGTCCCTGGAGAATCACGCCACATTCACTCAAGATGGTCATATTATCATGCCTCGTCATGCCTGGATCACTTTCATCGTTCGTAATATTTACTTGATGAATATTGGCCTTCTCTGTCAGCTTGGGACCAAATCCGGGGTATGTTATGTCTTCTTACTTTCTTAGTCTTCATATTTTGACTTCAGTTTAGTTGCGCGTGGATCCTGTGGCGTTCTTGAAATCATTTTCGGTTTCTGGCGATGATCATTATGGAGTGACAGAGGAGGATATCGAACGAGTATTGGAAGAGTGGAAGTATGCCCCACATATCAATGGTGAATTTCCATGCTCTATCAATTTCTAATCAGTCGCTGACTTCACATATTATTCAGATTTTGAAGCAGATGCCCCTCGCCGTCAGGCAGCTCAAGAATGGCAGGATTGGGTTGCGCATACGTCTAGCTTTATTCCTTCTACCTATAAGGGTCTCCCAGGAGACTTCTTAGGTATCGCAACTTCCGAGTTCACGCCAGAATCCGGTCTCATCAGAAATAGTGAGTCGACTTCTTGGACACTCTTTCCTTGTCACTGAAATTCTTTGGGATAATAGACTCTTATGAGAGTCAACTCAGGAAGCAGCAAGAGGGTGCTCGGGGCAAGAAATGTTCGAACAAGGCAAAATCTAAGAGCCGCCCCCGTAGTGAGTATTATTGTGTCCACTGTCCTTTATTTGTTGCTCATATATAAACCATACAGAATCACCAAGGAAAAAGAAAGACGACACACCGGGTTCGTCAAAGGGCAAGGCAGATGAGGAGGAGGAGGAAGAGGAATCTGAGGATGAAGTTGACCAGTTAGCGGATGATGAGGATAGTGAGGATCAGGAAGCGGGTGAGGATGAAATGGGAATTGAGGAAGAAGACAGGGAACCGTCAGCGCCTGAGAAGGAAGTCATACGACGTACTGTTCGCCGTACCGTCACAGTGATAACTACAGACCTTAATGTAGTGTATCGCGGTGGTCTTCGACGTTCTACTCGACTTCAGGCAGGCAAGTAGTACATAATCCCTTTAGTCTTTTCTTTAATCTTATTGTCTTTGGTTCAGAGGACTATGTTCCAGACTCCGTCGCTTCAAACGAATTGCTCTATACGTCCGACAATGTGTACGCTATCGTCATTGCGACGGAAAACCGCCTCAACAACCTCCTTATTCGAGCCAAGGATGAAGAAACAATATTGGCAGATCTTTGCAGGATATTCCGTGAAAGTAAGTCGATATCGGCTTCATTATGCACTTCATTTCTGACTTTGTTTCCTTGACTAGTATCTGTTCCAACGAATTCCTGGCTCTCTGAGCATTCCATCTCTAGCCAATTGATAGCTTACCGGCAAAGCACGTCCTATATCCACGACTCCTCTTCTGATTGGGACCTTGATTTACGCCGTCATGTTCTTCCTTTCTGGCGTCGCATCAATCAGCGCAATGAGGTTTGGCTCTCGATGGATACCATCAAATCTGCGTCTGCCAGTATGCAAGCTATGAGGCGCCTTACGGAGGAAATCCATGCAACCTACGCCCTTATCCGCTCTACTCGCTATCATATCCTCATGTCCCATTGTCTCGCATGGTTCTGGTTAGAGTCCATCTGCGCCTATCACTCTCAGCCACACATCGCTCGCAATACCCTCTCGTTATCCTGGCCTTGCAAATTGGCACGATATCTTCTCATCGTACTCGAAACCCGGCTCCCTACCTTCACTCTTCGTCCCAGCGACTATATTCCTCATCTTTCATCCGAACCTCAAACATTTCGCACCATCGGGATCAAGGAATATTCAATCACAGACTGTGTACCCACTCTTCAACAGCGCGTCTATCTTCAGATGAAGCGTATCTTGCAGAAGTGGCTAGATTTCCCACAGGATGAGATCGCAGATAGTCAGGCATGGGTGGTGCAGAACTTCGTCAGTGTTTTTGGATTGGGGTCTCTGCTACTCGACGAAGTGTGGGATGTTTATCAGCACGTGCCGAAGCATGTGCTGGGCCGATCTCGAAAACAAACTCGCACCATCTTCCTACATCAGCTCATACCTTTCTTTCATCATATCCGAAGCTGTGAAGCTGCTGTCAAGACCTCTTCAGCTCGAACTTTGCTGGACCAGTATCACGTCGAGTACGAGATGCATGGATCTTGCAGAGGTGATCAATCTGCTACAACCTACTCGAGTTCCATCGAAGTTGCAACCTGTTCCCAAGAATTACTGGTAGATGGAGATGAGAGCGCATGTTGCCCTGATAAGTTGGTGGAGTCGAGTAATGGTCTTGATGTTGCAATGGCGCTAAGTCCCTCACTATATGTATGTTCATTATTCACATGTGTACGTGCTTTTTACTCACATGCTGTGTTTTGTATACTTTCAGACCGCTTCACTTGATCAGCAAGATGATCTAGAATTCCCCCCACCACTCCACTCATTATCCCAATCTTCAAAACGATCACTGGAAGAACTTCAACCCCATTCGGGTCCATCAAATAAACGTATCAAAATCACACCTTCCACTACCCTCGCGTCTACCTCTCGCACGGTCTCTTCTTCATTGTCACCATCTCCTTCAATATCTCCACCTCTTCTAGCCTATCCCTCGCGGATCTCATTATCACGAATGCATCATGCTCTTACGGTCCTTCGAAAACTGGCATTCTTTCTGGAGTGTCCGTATCCTCATGAGAACGTACAGGGTTCACGCTACGTGGGGACTCTAGAGGATCAGCCGGCTGAGGATATGAAGTTGATGAAAGAAGTAGCCAGTGATCTCGATGGATATCTTCCGTTTCCTCGACGTGCACCATCCGTTCTTCACGCCATGTCCACATCCGGCCTTTCTGGTCGTGACTTCAACCAATCGCTTCTTTTCAGTGCCATATCATTTCGCGCCATCTTCTTCAAGTCCCAGTATCACTTCGATCACCCCACCTACATGCAAGACTTCGCTGAGTACAAGAACCGTGTCCTTCGCCTTCACCAACCGGACTATCCCTCCTCTATCATCACTCCTGGTGCGAAGACTCACTCGTATTGGGCCAATCCGAATCAGTATAGCAAAGGTGCTCATACACCTTTAGTCGACAATATTAGTCTCTACTGGTCTTCCATCAATCTCGAGTGGTGCTATCCTCCTCACAAGGTTTTCAAGACCTACAAGAGTATCGCAAACCGTCCACCACTCGAGCCACCTTCTCCTCTACCATTCCACTCCTTCTTCGACGACTATCTCTGTTTCAATCGAGGTTCACCATCCACAGGAAAGAAGACCAATCTCTTTCCCAATATAGGATCGTTGATTGGTTACCTATGCACTTTGGATCTTTCTTATGCTGGATACGTTGAAAAGCCGTCTCTGGATGATGTGGTTGAAGCGATGGTGAAGATCAATGCAGGTGGTATCAGGGGGCTTATTGCGCTAGGTTTGGTAGAGAAGAAGGATAAAAGGCATAAGTATTCTCTCGCCGAAATCAAGAAAGCTTTCTCAGTCTTTCATGATTTTCTTTCCCAGCATTTGACAGAGAAAGAGAATTCTTTCCCAGCATTTGACAGAGAAAGAGAAAGAGGCTACGGTTTTTGATCGTCCTATGTCTGAGCACTTCTGTTGTAAGATCTCAAAACTTGTTAGACTTGCGATTGTTGTATTTCCTGATGATGATTGCTTTGAGTCTTGTACGTGTCAGCTTTAGTGTACCTGTACATGTTCTTGTTACAATTTTGTTTATTTATATACCTTTTGCCGCTGTTGTGATCATGTCTTGCTCGAGCTTCATACTATTTTGCAAGCAACGTGATTTGCCTGAGGTACGCATCATGACACTGAGATCAAACCTCATTGTACTAACTACCCTTCTCTAGTAATAGCCACACGATCGTTTCCCCAAGTGACTACACCGCGGTATTGTTGTCGCTCAGATTCAACCCACCCATGTCTAAACTTCCGGATTCATTACTGTCTCCTGTTTCTCCCTCTTTTTGTGCGGCCATGCTCACATCATGTGATTCTGCCTGGGTCTCCGTGGTTCGTAATCTCTTTGTCGAAGTTTCTCCGGTCAATAGCGAAGACTGAAAATATCCAACAGGTCGTTTGATTGCTAATCCCCTCCCTGGCTTGTGATATTCGTCCCGCACACGTATAATTGATTCGTAAGTCTACTCCTTCAATCAGAGGGTAAATATACATATATATATCAGTATTGACGTACCTGTTGCATGGCATTATCAAGCATTGCTATACTCTTCAGTTGACAGATCAAGCGGTGCTGTGGAGTCTTGCCTCCAGACGGTACTGTCTTGAACGCAATCTGAGCCTGTACTATCTGACCAACTCTGAACTGCGCCGGATTGAAGCATATAAAGCTGCAATCATTTCTATACAAGGTCAGTCTATTGGTATCCATAGAGCAAGTGTAGACGACTCACTCAGATTTACGACGGTGCATGGGTATATATTGGTAGTACCCCACTTCATTAGTAGGCAGATGAACCATGTTGGATGTGGCTGCACGGGTAAGATGGTGATGTGGATCCACGTTCGATGCAAAGGGTATGCTGGGCTCGCCATTGGCATGTTGAATAGGTGTAAAATAACGGTTGGAGTACTCCTTTGAAGTCATATTAGAGTCCACTGCATTGATTACGTCCCAAGCTTTCAGCGTCCCTTCCTTGTAATTGGCCGACATCTTCTGATGGATGGTTTCGATTGCTTGGCGATCTTCAACAAAATGTTTATTTCCCCATCCATGGATAACTATGCTCTGTTTAGCAAACTGAACACGGCGTGGAATGCTGTGTTTGTAAGTTTCTTGTACACTTCTTACATAAAACTGTGAATGGCTTACTCTGTTTTTGCGATGATTGGAGGAAGGGTGAAATCCCACAAGACACCCTGCACGACAAATATTGCTTCGATGCCTTCGGACTCCGAGCTTCCTTCGTTGAAAAGAAGTGTTGAATTTCCGTCTGTATCCGTATATATGATGGTGCGTTCGTTGAGTGTTTGCAACTATATTTTGAACAGTGAGCTTATATGTATTGACGATATTTGTGAACTCACATTCTTCAAGGGATAAAGAAAGTTTGAAGTATCCATTTGAGCTCTGACCTCGGCCAGGACACCATCGATATGTGCGGCTGCATAAAATCAGTACCATCATTTATTATTTTATACGTTAGACTGAACTCACTGTTCTGAGAAGATTCCATATAGTGACGGAAGTCGACAACGTTGAAAGTCATGTTAGATACTGGCTTGGGCAGGACGTAGTTTATTTCGATGCGAAGTTAGGACTGAGAACAAAATACGGTGTGTTGTCTCTTATATCTTTTTTATATCGCGGCATGTTTTTCTGATCTAGGGTGGGGAAACAACTTCAACCATATCTGGCTCGATCTGAACATGTCTGTCATTAATTCATGTACGATATATGAACGGAGTTCATACCAGTACGGTGGAAGGAGTTCATAACAGTACGGTGGAAGCACTAGCACCGATTGAACGTTTGAGGGTAACCTATTTCGCTTGGTCTGCGTGCCCCTCTCGCTTGTCTCGCTTACCACTTGTGGCGCATGTTTCAGGTTCTTTACGTGGCCTCCTTCGTTTCTTTTTATATGATGCCTGCACGATATGCAGAATCCACGTATATTCCCCAAGTCCCTTGTCGAATCCACGTATATTCCCAAGTCCCTTGTCAATTGACTTATCCTCAAGCGACTTCTGGTCATACTTATACTGCTCATCATCAAGACTGTGGGTAAAAACACTATTATGTTCCTTGTCGAATTCAATGTTAACATCAAACCAATACAGGGTCTACGACGTATCTGTCATACACGTTCGGTCATTGTGTCTGCCTAATATAATTCCACATACAAGTAAGATAGAGTATTTGTTTCTGGTTTTATGTCGCTCATATTCTCAAAGCTCCATATCCATCCCTTCAACATGGCACTCAGAACACCATTGCGCAGTGTCGAGCAGAAGTTCGAGTAAGCACAATTCATCATACTCTATCTGTTCATCTTCCGATGACTTACGGATATATAGGGATGATCCTTTGACAACTTACATGATCATCGTCCTCAACCTTCAAGCCATCATGTTACCCGAAATTGTATTCAACATTATGTCGTTCCTCCCTATGAGCGATATTGCTACCTGCGCACGGGTTTGCCAATCGTGGCTTGATCCTGCTATATGTCGTCTCTATCGGGAACTCGATTTCGGTTTTTTTGCGGGAATACTGGGCCTGCCTTTCACGTACGATGTCCCAGATCCAACTAAAGGCAGACTGGTATGCTATAGTAAATTTATCTTCATGTATTACGGCTTACGATTGCAATATGTGCTTCCAGGTCATCCCCAGGAATGTAATTATCCCGAAGTGGCGCTGGGACCGATACAAGCCTCTCTTCGTGCACACTAAAGCACTGTACGATAACTCCGTTTATGGCTATCGGGGAATGACGCCGGAAAGCATAGAGGTCATTGCTCGCAGCTGGTACTTTGGTCCCATGTTCCCAAACCTCGAACATTTATGCATTTGGTCGTCATCGCTTCTTCCGGCCTTCAGCTCTCCGAACCTCAAATCCACCCGTATCACGCCTGCCGCTGCTCGCGATACCAATATCAGCCTCCTTGGTGCTCTCAGTGAAACAGCAATGAACTGCCCTAGTCTCACGGAAATCATGCTCATCCCAGGCGAGGTCGACGACAGTACTTTCGTCAACCATGAAGACGCCCGTATCGCATGTATGAACGCATATACCATGTGCAGAACACTCGTCCGCGTCTCACTTCCCCTCTATTATCTCAGCCCATGCCTTCTTCACATCCTCTCAAATCTTCCGCACCTTGAAAGCATCGACATGGTCACAAAGACAAGCGCATCCCCTACACCTGAAGATGGCTGGACAGGCCCGATGGCTGCCGTTGGATACTTCGGCACATCTCAGATGACCTCATTCCCTATGTTACGCGCTGGATCCTTCCCTATGCTCCATACAATCGGCATCGCATTCAACGATCCCATGGCCGCGGTCGATCTCCTTCGCAACCCCCACTTCCCTGTCGACCGCATTTTGCGTTACACTATTCGCATCAGTGGTGAAGCGTACACCAACATGTCGGTCGGTATTCGTCTCATCATCGAAACCCTTGCGCAGAGGAATAGTCCGGTTACGGACCTTACCATCAATACCGCTGCAGCGAGTGGCACACTGGTCAGCGCCCTATCCCGCCACGACGTGATCTCATACTACGAGCTTGTCAACTTACGCAAACTATCGGGTCTTCTCCGATTTCACCTCGTTCATAATAGCCCGGTCAATATCACGAACCATGGACTTGCCCTGCTTATTAAAGACTGGAACATCGAATCCCTCATCCTTATGTGAGGCGCAGATAATCGAGCACTCGAAGAACGACTGTGAGAAGCGTCACTGTCAATGATATTGCCCTCACAAAGTAATAGAAAAAGAAAGAGACGCAATCTATAGTAAGACTCACCTGTGAGAAGCGTCACTGTCAATGATAAAGAGACAAGGACGCTTCCCACAAGTTAAAAGGACGCGCTCCGGCGCTTACCGGTCTACTATACAGTTGGAAAACTACCTGCCTAAACGGGACGCAGAGGCGCGGAACCGAGGCGCGGAATCCGGCCCTCTGCGGCCCGCTGGCTGGCGAAATAACTAAAGTCATAACTCTGCAGTAAGTGGTCCTATCAGTCCCGGAAAAATTGCTAAAATATCAGGAAAATTCCCTCTGTCTCGTCGTAATACTCCGGACACCTTAATCCCAGTCCACTCATCTATACACTATCTTCTCTCACTCCGGATGTACTCCTTGAAGTCGCAACAAACTGTCGAGCGATACGCGAGTTAGGCCTGTTTTTGGATACCTCCACAGGCGACCTCACATTACCCGCATTACACCCTATCATCTCCAAACTCGACCGCCTTCATCTCGGAAACTCCTTCATGACTGTCGGTGACCACAGAAGATCGAGGCAGATCACAAGCTTCCTGTCAAACATCACAAACCAACTTCCTTTCATCCTTATGCCCCGTGAGCAAGAACCCCGACTGGATGCAACCTTTTCTCGTATCGTCATTGTCGACCCGACAACCCTTGGTATGGAATATGATGGTGAGGATCAGTTACCTTGGTTAGATGAGGAGTGGAGGTTCGTCAGCAACAACTTAGAGTCAGTTAGGGAACGGGATTCGGCGTTGGTGGAGGTGGAATGTCTCCGTTATCATATAGACGTATTAGAGAAGGCATGTAGGAGGCTTGAGAATCAGTTGGCTGTTGCTGAAAGGCTACCCCGTCAAGGACAGTCTACGCCCTTCTTCTCCAAATAGTTTAACCAGCTCTTTTTGTTCTTTGGATTGCATTCCAATCGGTTTTTGTTTCTCATACCTATATTACCTCGAATTTAATAGTAAACTTCAGACATTTTGTGTAGAACGATAGTCAACTTCTAATATTGTTCCTTTTACCTTCTACATTATCTCTTCAGTCCTGTGGGTATATGTGTCTGATGAAGATGATCGTCTTTCGTGAATGATATTGTTATGAGCTTCTCTTGATCTATTTGGCTTCATGTTTCAATCTCTCCTGACATTGATGATATTCATTCTGATACTTCTCTCGATCTGGTTAACTTCGTGTTTGAACCTATCACTTTAGAATATGCATTCCGAGGCTTCTCTCTATCTCATCAGCTTCCTATTTAGCGGTCTTTAATCAAGAATTTTCATTTCGGTACTCAGGAGTCTAATTTAGATAACTTTCCTCAGACATAGAAGTCTTCTTGACTTCACCGTCTAATGTTTCAGGGCGATGTTATTGTTCAGTTGTGCATGTAACAGGTTTCAGTAGTTGTAACATCCTCGATTGGCTTCGCACTTCTTCATTCCATTACGGCTAATTATGGGGGCTCAAGTGATCATTTCCCTCAGTTCCTTAGCCGACATCGCCTTTCTTTTGTGATCCATTTATATCGTGCATCACCCACTTTCCTTGAACCCACCCTTTCTGACTTTCTTCGTTAAATCCTATCCAATTTCTGGATAGTTATCTGCCCTCACCCTGCATAATTTCACTCACGAATAGTGAGTATCAAGCCTTTCTTCCCAATTTCAGTTTACTGATAAGATGTCATCTAGGAAGTTCGCTTTTGAATCATGTCGGATTTACATCTTCATCCTCATCAACCTAACCTTTTGAGGTCAGTTTGGTGTTTCAATATAGCCATAATTATCGACTAACGGTACATGTATTACACCTATTGCTAGGAGTGCATGGTCCAGGATTGAAGACGCTCCTGAATTGGTGACCAATATTCTTGGCCACTTAGAAAGACACGAGCAAGTTCCGGCAAGCCGCCTCAACAAGAAGCTTAACTTCATAGCAACCGAGTTGATATGGTATCGCGTGGACTGTAGAGTCTTTCTGTTCCTCACCAGAGGCATTCTGTGGACCAAAGGCACCTATAGACAGCGCATGATCGTGAGTTACACATATTCTATTGTCTTTTGTCCAATTGCTCATACATATATATATTTGTTAAGAGACTCCTCCGAACTCCTACGAAAGCGGACTGGGCACGGTGGAAACCTCTTGCTGAGATGACAAGAGAATTCTCCGATCAGTCCATCGAATCTGCTTATGGTCTCGAGGATCACGATATCTTCAGGCTTCTCGCCACTCGGCCGGAAATGCACCTATTCCCAAACTTATCCAGGGCCTACATCATGGAGGCTCATCTTTCGCCACTTTTCTTATCGCCCACTATTTCCGAGCTTCACCTCACCGTTAGCTTCGAGGATCAGCACGGTCACGCTTCATATATGGAAGACACTGCTCCGTGGATATCCGACTACATTTCCAACCTGAAAGCATTGCACATCTATCCATGGCGCATATTGCCCACCTCCGACTCTCATTCTCCTGCCACGGCCACCATTCGTTCTATTCTCCATGGAGCTTGTAAAACTCTGACAGAGACAAGTTTCCCAGTGTACTACGCCGACTGGGGAATGCTTCAATCCCTCCTACAATCCGAAAACCTCCGCTCGATCCAGTCCAATTATCATTCGCTGGCAGGCCCCGCAGAGCCTATCCTATACACCGGATGTCAAGATATTCTACACTGGACCTACAGCGAGATCCATTTTCCGATGAACTTAGCCCTTCCATTCAAAAACCTCGTGGATCTGGACATTTCCTTTCCCTATCCCAGTATCGCCACACAACTCTTACGCGAGACTGTTCTTACCCAACTCGACTCTCTTACACTCCATTTCACGGTCTTAAAGCCCGACAACCTTGGTGTTCCCTCTCCTGCTCAATTCTCGCTTACACCCCTATTCTACCGGATATACGACTCTGCCCCGCAAGTCCAGCATCTGAAGATATTCATGGTTCCATCCCAGCGGAAGGGTTCTTCTAATATAAGGAACGTTCCCATCGTCAACTGGATCGACTTGTCTCCCATAACCCTCCTCGTCGACCTCGTCTCCTTCGAAATCACTCACGTCTATCCAATCGACATATCATCCCATCATATTGCCAAGATCACCCGTGGACTCCCATCCTTGACAAGATTTATCCTCAATCCCCACCCTGTGATCATACGCAGTACTTCGTATGGTCTCGACGTATTATTTGCAATGGCAGCATGGGGAAAAAAACTCAAAGAGGTGGGAATATTCATGAACTACCACGAGACGATGCCGTCCATTCAAGAAGGTGTCTTCTTCGACCTACTTCGCACTTTATATGTCGGCCTTTCCTTCACGCCTGAAGATGATACGATATATAATGCAACATGTCACGCATTATATTATCTCCTACCTCCCAGCGCCAAGATCAAGACATGTCCCTCCTCCCTTGCACCATTCCGTCCTGTCTCGACATTTTTTGAGGACAATGATGGATCACTCTCCGAATTCTCAGACACCTGTCTTGAAGACCTGCAAGATGCATGGGTAGGGGTAAGAGGGGCCATGAAACAGATTCACGAGACTGTTATCCTCGTTCATGGGAGTCGGATGGTGAGAAGGGAAGACATGGAGGCCAATGGTAAGTCTTGACCATCATATTCTTGTATGTCGGTCTTGCCTCATTATTGTCATAGGAATCCTATCTTGAATATGTTCCCTATACTTTGATTGGAGTAGTAAAATAATACTTGATGGTATTTGTTTAGGCGTAATATTTCAAACTCTTTTCGCTAGTTATATTATGAATGTGAACTGGTGTGTCGATCTTGGGATATTGAACTCTGGACATTGGATTAAGAGGGTCTTTGAACTCTTCTATTTTTAATGTCCACCACTTCTATCGATCATTCACATATTTAGTCAGGTTCTCCTATTATTAGGGTAATTCATTTGGGTGTTCTTCTCTCTGCACGGTGACCCAAAGGAGTAAGTGCCGCGATGAGGGTCTGTATACTATGTTTCAGATACGTCTTCTATTCCCGTCCAACTCGGACTGTACCTGATTCGCTTTCTCATAGATAATAAAAGTCTTTGCCTCGAGTCATTCCCCCCTCTGTCCATTATTGCACTGTTAGGTGTTCATGTCCACTTCCTTCTGTTATATTGTGCTACTGGGACTGATCCTATTCTGCCTAGTCAAAGGTCAAACCAAACATAATCCATTAAACCACATTCTCCATAACTTGTCTCAAGTAAGCTATCAATAGATTCATTGCTGGTTCCTTCAGTTACTCATGAGTTGCAGATCTCAAAACAATATGTCTCTGAAGCGTATCAACCAAGCTGGTCTTCAATGCCTGGTCAACTACCCGTACGCTTGCCCATACACTTTGTATACAGTCAAATCCCTCATATAGATATTGAACTAGGCAAGCAACCGGTTGGCCACGCCTTCAACAAGCCCCAGAGCTCTTGACTCAAATATTGGACGATTGTGATAACAATACAAGAGTTGCTATGACTCGTGTTAGCAAACTGGTCCGCAATTGTGCAACAGCCGCGGTGTGGCACACTGCAAATCCCAAAGTGTTTATGGCTCTTGTCCATTGCTCGTTATCACAGACGCCGGCTAGATTCGATGAAGGCGATGTCATAGTACGTACCAACATTGTATTTGATACTGCAGTGACTGACTTTCCTTTAGTACATACGCACTGCTCCAATGGCCACTCAATGGAAATCATGGCTACCGCTCGCAGAATACGTGAAAGTATTCCAGGACAATTCCCTCCACGATGGTCACAAGCTCACCAAGGATGGCATCCAGCTCCTGAATACAACTCGCCCGGTTCTTCATATATTCCCCAACCTACACACCGTCTACATCTTCGACTACAATTTCTTGCCAATCTTCATGTCACCAAACCTCAGTATAATACACCTCACCATGACGCAAGAATTCATCCAGGACCAGAGTCACATCAGCTCCATCGCTTCTGCACTCAAAGACTACTGCCCTAACATCACCGAGCTCCACATATATTCTGTCAGTGAATGAGATTGTCAACTTAGCCATAAGAAGACTATCCAGGCACTCTGCGCCCTCATCACATCGGTCTGCTCCACCCTTATCCATGTCAGCTTTCCGGTGCATCTCGTCACTTATGAAATCCTTGAACGACTCATGCGCTGTCCACACCTTCAATCAATAGGCCAATCAATACAACCCAACAGAATCGGCCTACGGAGTCATACGGATATATGCAGAGGATTGAACTGCCATGTCATCAATTCGTATAAACGAAATGACATAGAGTCACCGCACACACCATTCCCTGTGATCGAAGAAATAGACCTTCTGGTGCCAAACTTCAAGGCTGCTCGCATATTATTCTGCTGCTACACATTTTCCAATCTCGACACCCTCAATCTCTCCTTCCTCGGGACGAAACAGGTGGAATGGTCAAAATCCAAACACGACGATTTATTACAAAACATACATCACTGTGCACCTCAGCTCAAACATCTTGGCCTATTTATTCTCTCCCCACCATCTTCATTCGTCAAAGACTTCCCGAGGATTCAATGGGCGAGTCTTCAAGTCGTGGCGAGGTTTACGCTCCTGGAATCATTTCAGCTCCTTCATCCTTACCCAGCTGAGATCACTCGCTCTCAGATTGGTATACTCCTCTCCAAGCTTCCGCACCTCACCAAATTCATTCTTAATCCGCATCCTGGAGTGCATACGGGATCTTCATTCGGGGTGGATGTGCTTTCAGAGGTGGCCAGACGGAGACCAGAGTTGCAGGAGTTGGGATTGTTCTTCAATAAGAACATAAATCTACCGCTGAAGAGCATCCCGGTGACTCCTTTCCATTCCCTTAGACTCTTTTATCATGGAACTTCAACGGTACCTGGTGCCCAAAAACCTTTCAAAGATCTTTCTTGCTACTTAATGTCCATTTTTCCTCCTGATACTGAATTTTCGCATTATCCTGAAAATTTCACCTTCTTGAAAAACAAGCGTAGTTTTACTATTCTTCCGATTACCCATGAGGTCGTAGATGCTAGATTACGTCCTGCTACTGATGCGGCCCAGCTGTGGATTCAAGTGAAGGAGACCATGGATCTTATTAGGGACTTGAGAGCGGATTTACTTACGAATTAGTTCATTTGGTATTGTTTATATCCTTTTACGAACCACTTTGATTTATGACCCTTGAAGATCATTCACGTTGATTAGTACAATAACAATTGGACTCAATTCTCTTAATCTAATTAAGAATTCAAGTTTACTGTTGTTGATGCATCAGCCATTGTGCGTGGATTATTCCCTCCATAAAATATTCAAACTAACAATGTGACTTGGATAATCTTTATAGTGGAATGAATATCACACGGTTATTTCCATCAATATGAAGTTCGTCTACTCTCGATCATCATTGTCATATGAGTTGGTTCTACTCTATATCAGTATATTGACACCCTTCTTCTGACTCTTCTAGTGTCGTGTAAACCAATCTCATTCACGGCTTTCATTTATGGCGAAGAACAGAAGATTCATTTCGGTACCTTCAACACCCTGAAACACGTTTATTGCATTGTCTGTACTGGTTAAATACTGACAGTATCTCGCCGTTTGCTCAACTTACATCCCATCCCCGTACTTCACTGCAATCATTCTCACCCAACTTTGTTTTCATATCAACCATGCCTCGTAAAGCCGCCACTGCCAACTCTGGAAATGCTGCCTTGTCTAAGAATGCTGGCGATGTGGCCGGTTCTGCTGCTGCCCAGTCTCCTGCACGCCGTAATACGCGAGGGTTAGTATTACTACTTTGCTCATACATCGAGTAATATTGATTGTATATGTGCGTAGACAAGTTAAATCTGACAAGGAAAAAGATAACAAGAAGGGTGTTGGAAAAGGCAATGTCCAGGAAAGGTGTGTTAATTCATGCTCATCACGAATAAGTGTCATTATTGCAACTCAATACTTGTGTTTAGTACCAACAAGAAGGTTGCTAAGCGCAAGCATACTTCCGATAATGAGGACGATGAAGATGTCAAGAATGCTCCTGAGTATGTATATACTCTTTCTATAAGTTTATAATGCATACATTCATTCCTGTAATAGCCAAACCCCCCCACCGTCTAGTCCGCCTGGTATATCTCCTCCTTCAACACCTTCTCCTTTGAAGAAACTTAAAGGGGCTGGGTAAGTATATGTCATGCTCAAGAGAAATATATATTGACGTTACTGTGTATATGATATAGTAAAAGGACACTGGAAGGTGTAATCATTGATACGCCTTCCAAGTCGCCTGGAAAGAAGTATGTTATTTTGCTTATTGATCTAGTCTTATACTGATATGCTATCAGGCCGGTTCGCTTTGAGACTCCACCGCCTTTGGAAGTGCAAGTGCCAAAGACACCAAGGTCTTCGGCGAAGAAACATGCAATGAACATAGATGATGACAATCCGTTCATGTCTAAGGATGTTAGCCGGCAAAAGGGGCACACCAAATCGTATGTGCTTTTCTATTTATTAGACTTACTGTAACTGACACATTGCACAGTTCTGCGAGTCAATTATCGAATCAACAACTTTGGGAGAAGCGAGCTGCCCTTGCACGTCTCATGAAAGAAATCGAGGCTCAGATAGGTGACACTGGAGATCAAGCTCAATCTGAAACTTACAGTGATGAAGAGCATAATATGACTGTTGATGGCTATGAGAAGGACGACTTTGTTGTTGACGATGAGGCTGAAGAGGATGGCGATGCTGGAGATGAGGATGGTGCAGAGTACGACGATGCTCAGGAAAATAATGAACAGCAGGAATATACGCATGGAGAGGAGGAAGAGGAGGTGGAAGAGGAGGAGGAAGAGGAGCCTGAACAACCCAAGCGAGCAAAGACTTCCAAGGTTAGTTATTTTCTATATCCATTACCGGCGCTTTCTAATTTCATGTGTTATCAAAATACTGTTAGGCCTCTTCTTCAAGGATTCCTGACAATGGCAATGACACCGATCCCGGGGAACTTTCTTCTGACTCTATTCAAAGGCGCAAGAAGATTGCCCAAGGAAAGAAGAAGGCGGCAGACCCAGAGGTTGAAAAGGATGGTGCAGGATCCATTCAGATTCATGGGTATTCATGTTTTGTTTAATTTTTCACATGTCTGCATCTCATATTTTGACTTCTTCAGATTCCCGAAGAAGAGCGGTGTCAATGTCAAGGATACAAGGTACTGGTGTCACATTCTGCGTATCATTTGTGATATTTGGCTCACTCTTATATTTCAACAGGAAGTACAACATGTCTATTTGTAGTGTGACGAGTCGTACCCTACAGCACAAACTTGTGCAGGCAAGCTTCAGAAATGTTCCCCCGTATCCAGAGTAAGTTGTTTAAATGATTATCTATATTTATAAGTATGCTCATGAGCATTTAGGGCTGGTGGTATCACTGGTTCCACTTCAACAATTGATCTAGATTTCCTGGATGATAGCTCTTTCACTGGGATTCAGATACCGTGAGTTATTTCATTGCAGTGATACAATATTTTGATACTGATTTGTGGTACAGGGCACTGGTTCAGCTTCTCACATTCACCCAGGCTGGGCGATTTCACAATCCCGCATATGCCAATCCCGATGATTTCTCCACCGCCTTTGGAGTATCCACGAACCCGACCATTCACATTCCTGATACTATCATTCCGTCGCTCTTCATTTCCTTCGGAATCGTACATCAATCCAATACCATCAAAGGTCGAGCGATCGGTGCCAATAGTACCAAGGGGTATAAGGATATTCAGATATACCATATCAGTCAATATCACGAGAGGGCAATTGCTTTCATGTGCCGAACCCTTGGCGAAAGTGAACTGTCTCTTTATACCTATGAAGGAGCAGTTGGGTACAGTACAATGTTTGGTGAACTTGGTGAGCAATTATATTACCTGCTACTTGAAATCAAATTAACTTATAGTCAACTTATCCACAGCGTCACCGACTCGTCCCTCTCCGACCAAGAAGAAGAACAGTGCTGGCCCCTCCTCACCCTCCAAGCCCAGTCCCCTTGACAACATGCGGCGAGCCAACATGAAGAAGACTGTCCCAGTTACCAATTCAATTGG